TTTTAATTTTATCTCGATTAGAATAATTTTCTATATGATTTTGATAGCTAAATTTCACAAAATGTATTACCATATTTCTTAAAATATGCTTCTTTCATCCCAAAATCAAGATAGATTAGTTTTGATGAATTATATATTTTTACAACTATTGAGATTGGTATAACATGAAAATTATCATATTTACTAATTATTACATCATGATCTAAAATTTCAAAACAATTAATTAAAATTAATAATACTAAAATCTAAAGGTATGCATAAGCTTTTTTAACTTAAAATATAATATTAATTAATATCATTTTTAAAAAATATTAAGTAATTATAAAACTAAAAAGTAAAAGGAAAGAACCTACTATCTCCCGAACAAGATGATTTCTCTCCATTCTTCGCTCGTATAGGGGTTAATTACAAATCACCTTTTGTACTCGGACTCTATTAGTATCGCAGTCCCTATACTTAAAATAGAATTTATATTGAAATCACTATAATTTTGAAAATCAAATAGATAATCCTATTTGTCCTAACATTGTTAGTTGTATTGATAGAAAACACAACACGTGACACCACATATTGAATTGACATGAAAGTGATGAGTAAATTTTTAATATTCTTTTTGTTTTCAATGATTTTATTATTAAAAAGATAATTTTAATATTCCAAATGAGATTTTATGTTTGTATTAGTGCTAAGCAAATGGCTCAATGTTATGCACACTCATCTATGAACTATATTTTCTAATAAAATTAAAATTTTTAAAATATCTTGTAAAAATATTTTTCATAGGTACAAAATTTGCTTGGCATTAGCTTGTATTAATGCCATGGACAATGCAAAGGTGTGTCATCATCCTCTTCAATTAGTGGGAGAAGACCATGGATTTCTCCATGGAAGTGTCATCACCAATATATATAAAAATAATAATTGATGGCCATGTTCTTATTTGGATTTTGATTTGATTAGAATTATAAAAGGTGGAAGTCAATATTAAAATAGAAGAGATATTGAAATTATCCTTTTCTTTTAATGCAACTAATGACATCACGACATATGAGATTATTTATTTAATTTTTAAAATTAAAAGGATCTCAATATAATTTTTTTAAATACAAGGATCGCAATACTAATAGGATCCAAGTATAAGGGATAATATGTAATTAACCCCTCGTGTAGTTCTCTCAAGTTTAAATTTTAATTGATGTGGAGAGATTTATTTCACATTAGTTATTGTTATTAAATTAAATTCGAATAATTTATTTCTTTGGGTAAAATTTGGAAATAAATTATAATTTAATGTATACCATTTATGAATTAATTTTTAAAATTTAGGAACAAAATTATGATGGTTACACCTCCCACGTCCAAAGGAGAAAAACTCGAAATCTAAATAGAATCATAGATATTAACAATAAAAAACATATCAGAAAATCAACACATGATATTTCATTATAAGATATTTGATTCATATAAATTCAAATGATTCATAAATTTGGTTTCATCCTCTTTAGACACACAGAGAGAAATCCAAGGTTTTATATTTCACTCTCCTCAGTCAAAATCTAGCGATAAATAAATGAGATATTTATAGAAAAATCAAACTCTATTTTTTTTATCACAAGGATTACTTCTTGTATTAAGATTCTTTATTCTAAATTTAAAAATCTTAAAATACTTACCGATTCCAAAAATATTATCTTAACGATCAGAAATTGCGGGGATTGCCGAGTGATTGCATGACAATGACAAGGTGTTTTCTTTGTGCCATCGTCGTGCCAATGAGAAATTGCAGCTACCGCCGAGATCAGAAATTGTGGGGGTGTGTTGAGTGATTACATGACACGACATGGGCAAGAGATGATGTTATTTTGTGCCATTGTCGTGCCAAATGAGAATTTGCAGCTACCGATGAGTGTTCATTGGCTATCCCATCACCAGCTGAAAGATTGCTGCAGCCAAATCCTGCCATACCTCATCATTGGATCTCGATGGAGTTAGGGTTATCAGGGCAAATGAAGAAAGGGTCGAAAGGATCTTTCCTCCAAAGACGAAGTGCCTCGTGTATGGCTCTTCGTAGTCAATCACATGCTCCTCTTCTTCTTCCTCGGCAGGAAGGCAGGAGGGGATGGCGGAAGAGAGCGATGCAAGGTTGAATGGGGCAGCCTGCGGTCGATCCCACCACCAAATAATTGAATCGGCCGCGAGCGCAGACCGAGGCGCATCTCCGGAACTGCCGACACCGCGCTTGGTAGGTGGGAGAAGCTGTTCATGGCTTCCCCTAGTCACATGCATTGCGTCACGTCCGTCAGATCTCACAGGCTTCGCTCTCCCCAGTAGCGGCACAAGAGACCCACCTCCTCCTTTTTTACCTTGTCCGTTCCTGTACTTTTGCTCTTCCTTTCTGCCTCAAGATTTGACCCCATCATCATTATCGTGACCGGCCATGGAATCCATCATGTAGCAGCTTCCAAAACAACGTCGCCATTCGCGTCTCCGTCGACAACATGGCATTACTCTACAGTAGTCGATGACCATCTAAATCTTGGAGCTCATTCATCACCACCAGGGATTTATTTGTTGGGCATCTAAAAGAGATTAACGATGATGTATAGATGAGTAGAAGACACACACGAACATGACAATGATGTTTGCCTGTACTACGTACTGAACGTGACTTTGATAATTGTACCCATCATCATGTGATGCAACAGAGAATTCCCAGCTTTGAAGACAAAAGTTTCTTCTTATACAGGAATCTGCATTATGATGTAATGATTCGTTCCACGAGATGTTATGCCGATCCAACGTCGTTTCTTAGCTCCTAAAGCAGGTTAGATCCATTCACGTAAAGCAAAATCTAGATGTCTGTTGCCTTGCTCTTTCTTCGGAACAGGACTGTGAGCACAGCAGGTATGTGGGCGGAGAGCATCCGTAGAGAGGAACACGAAGGAGATGCATGGCAATGATGCAGAAGCATATATAGTACTGCTGCTGTAGGATTATCCCTGTGCATGGCCCATGATGCAGATCATGAATGCTGACACAACACTTGTGATCCATGTTTTTGTCACGAGGCATGAATCTGCTACCAACTCAGTTCTCCATAAGACAAATCAGCATTAATCAATGATTGACCCAAAGCGTGGTGGGGAGGATTACAACATGCAGATCCGATGCTATAATTATTTTGCAGAACACTGCACGAGTTACTACCGACTGTTTACTGATGGCATGTGATCGATCGGCTGCATGACTGACAGCCTCATATAAGTCGACAAAATATCAGATAAAGAGCACTGCTACAAAGAAAAGAAATCAAACATAGGATATGTGATCGCAAGTGCTGCTCGGTCTGTGAAGCTTGGCAGAGCTGTGTAATCACCACACACACACACACACACGCCGTGTTTAATCTAGTTAAGGTGAAAACATGGCTTCTTTACCCCCTTCCTTACTGAAATGAGCCAAGAAAAGCACAAGTCAAACGAAGGTGCGGCGAGGACGGGGACTAATGCCATCCTTTTTGTCGTGGTCTTCGAAATCAAGTTGCTGGTTTCTCGGATGAGCGGAACACCGAACATGTATTGCGTCTCCTTTTGTTATTTCACTGTGGGTCGTGGATGAAATCTTTGACCATAAATTAATGCTGAGACGCAATAGATGTGTCTAGCGACGAAGAGACGAACCCCGTCTTCTGCGAGTCAACGGTGAGGGAAACTAAAAGGGGAGGAAAGCCACATTAGGTGGCACAAATTAAGGGTAGAGTATGGGAAGACTTCGCGAGGTGTGTTTGTCCTTTAGTTTGCATGATTCGTGCGGGTTTAGTTTTCCGTTTACCGACAAAGTTTGGCGAAACAAAGCCTTGATGGAGAACTAATCCATCTATCTATCTATCTATCTGTGTCTTCTTTCTTGATTCGTCGGCCGAAGAGTATTAAATTAATATGGAAGAGGATTCAAAAGGAAGTCAAAGTGCGACCTAATCTATGTCTCTGCTCCCACTAGGGCAAGCTTCCTGCAGCCTATTGGTGGGTAGCGTAATAAGATATGAGGAAGAAGAGGAGATGGCAGCGGTGGACATGTAATCAACTCCTCAATCGATGGGGGGAGCAGAGGCGTACGACGCTCGCCATGGCTGTCATGTCACATGTGCCTGCTGATGGAGTCGATGATGAGGAGCACGAAGCACTGTCCGCCTGCGAGTGTGACACGAGGGATGCTAATGTTCGCCACCGACGACATGGAGGTGGAAAGAGTTGCACTAAGCATGGGGGTTTGTAGGCAAACTACGGTGCCATGTCGACTCGACTCTTTGGACGGGAATTAAGGTCAAACCCAACTCGAGCTCAAAACTATGGAGCCATTTTTGCCACTTTGGCTCCTCAACCACAAGTATCACAATATCAAATTAGCATCGAGATATATGTCCACACAATTAAAATAAAGAACATTTTAAAATAAATAGAAATAGAGTGAAAAAAGGAATATTCTTAAAATAAAGAACATTTAAAATTTGTTCTTTTTTATTAGCACAAAATAACGATCATATCGCTCGCTAGCCATATTTATTTAATTCTTAAACGTATAGCATTTATCTCCCTCTTAACATTTTTACAATTTTCTACCTGGCAAATATACATCTATTATTATTTTTATCTCCAGACTAGAAAAACATGAGATAATTTCCTCAAATAAGAACGTTCTGTCCACACGCGCTAAGAATTACCTGAACCTGTGAAAATCTCACCATAATCAGATGTAATTTCGTAATAAAATTTAAGAAGGGGAATTTTCGAATAAGAAAAAAGATAGATAGATAGAAAGGAAATTGTAACTGTTGCAGGATCATGACATTGTAGCCGGTGGTGTCTGCGATAAACCTGTAAAGTATGGCAAAACTGGTATCGGAAACACGCAGCACGAATTCCACGCAACAAAGATAACACATTTAATATGAACCTTTCCCTCCATAACAAAGAGAGAACATTAAGAGAGAGAGAGAGAGGTAACAGAGAACTGCTTTCTGCATGCATGTGCTGTGTTTACCTTTATTCTGTGCAGATCGAAAAAGAGAATGCAAGCCCCACACAGGCAAATCCTTTCACTAACTTGAAAGGAAAAAAAAAAAAAGGTTTGGGTTGGGGGAGGGAGGACGGGAAGGGACACCCCCAACTTGAGGCACAAAGCTAAGGGAATACAGTTAACAGAATCAACCCAAAGTCACTGAGCCCTACTCAGTAAGGTTGGCTTCATGAACATCGAAAACTGATGTGCCATTTAAGCTCCAACATGAGAGATAACCAAGAGCATGCAACAATTGTGTTTTTCACCGTGCCAGTTTGCATCATCTGGCTTTTCTTGTGCGGATGCACAACCCAGCAATCTTCAGTCAGTCCACAGAAAGAGCATAAACCACTACAGTTCTACTAGGCGCATAAACTAGGAAAGAGCGAGGCCTGTTATCATATGAACCATCCTGCATGATCACCAAAGATATTGAAGGTTATTTCTGATATTAGATATTCATAAAAATAGCACATAAGCGGAGCCTTACAGTGCTGAAGTACTCTGCTGTATGATCAATTCGATTGAATCCGCCAAATAATTTATCATCAGAATCCAAAACCACCTGAAACAGAATTACTAGTGTCACTAATAGAATCACTCGACCAACAAAACACTACTTGCACCAAGCATGTTCATAAAAGAGAAGAAATAATCCAGCAAAACTTGTGTCAACTAACCGTATAACCAACCAACCGTATGATTACAACTTAGCATCAAGGATGACAAATGACTGTGCCAAACCATGCCATAGCACACGGCTTCTTGTTGCCAGGGCCCAAGGTGTAGCATTTGCATGCACAAGGCCTGTACCAACCAACATAGCTCTAGTGCAGCACCATGCTAGCTGGCATATTACTGGCACACTACATGCTAGCCAAATCCATGCATATGGATAAGGAGATTGATTAGCTTTTATCAACATGGAGAATAGAGAAGTTTAATCCTTTGTGAGTCCTGAATTTGAGCCTATTCTAAATAAGTTAATTTTGAATGAAATCTTTAATGAGAACCACATTAAATGGTAGAACAATTATATAAACAAACTTGCTCTAACATATTCCATGCACTGAAGCAAAGATGCTTTAATAGATTTTGACACAACTTTTAAATAAGCAAACTTGCTCTAACATATTCCTACACGTAGAGAGGCTGTTTCCTCAATGAAGTCATGAATGTCACATTTCATAGATTATGACAACATCGAGTAGTTTCTAATAAGCAAGTTTAACTTGAAGCTAAAAGGGCATAATTCGGTGTCAGATCTACATGGACAGAAATGTTACCATGGACAATCAGGAAGCCATATTGTAAAGGTTTACGCACCTTGTATTTTCCAGGCTTTAAGCAACCAACTCGGTAGTCAAAGTAGCTATTTGTCCAATGGAAATTGAAAACAAATACCAAGTCACCTCGTTCAAAAACAATCATCTTATCCCCCTCATCCATTCGGGAGATGTACTGATCTGATGTCATGAACTGCAATACACATCATATAAAGATGACCATACAATGAAGAAAAAGATCTTATGCAATAGTCTGCTGGCAAATAATCTTGAAACAAAATGCTCAAGAATTCTCATTGGAGAATCAGCACCTGGAAACAATGAGTCAAGGAAACTTCAATGTAGTATTGAAAAATGTTTAGAACATCCATATGGAAATTTATCTTTAATTAACTATCTGAGAGAATTATTGTTCTTTAAAACCCACAAAATTATGCAGTTCCAATTTCCAAATTTGTTGCTCAACTAAAATACACCATGGAACTCGAGTCACATAACCTATAGAAGTACTTGTGGGGGGCACTTATTTTGATGTCTCAGATTATACTTTGATATTCTCTCCCGATTAGTGATCATATGTTATTCAATCATCATGAGATTTGGAATAGAAAAGTGTGAAACAGATTAATTTTGCAATGCATTTGTAAATCAGATTGGTCCTTCAACAATATCCAAACAGGGGTCCAAAGAAGTATTTGTGGCCTTTTATTTTGATGTCTCAGAATATACTTTCATATTCTCTCCCAATTTAGTGGTCATATATCATTCAATCATTGCGAGATTTGAAATAGATTCATTTCACAATGTATTTGTAAATCAGATTGTTTCTTCAACAACATACGAATACTCTCAGAATCTTGATGAGGAGCAAGATCAGCTTATAGTTAAACAAAATTGATCCCTGAACCTTTTAATAATTTCCACAGAAAATGTAAAGCTGCTAGGAGAAATAATACATACACCATATTTGTCCTCGAGATGCTGCATTGCTTGATCGAATTCTTGCATTCCACGATATCTGAGGTAATCTGCATCTCCCTAAATTTAAAAAGGGATCATTAATAAGTGATTATATACTAAGATGGTACTTTGACAAAAATCATATATATAACCTAGATGAGTATTTTAGGTAAAAAAAAGTGAATTTGCATAAAATTGATAAATACATGCTGTTATAAAGTCTAGGCAACAATAACAAATGTGCAGGTAAGAAACTAGTGTTTAATCTAAATTCACATGATGATCTAAAAAGCAGAACTACTAGCTGCCTATGCCAAAGCAACAAGACCTGTCCTTTGAAGTTAAGAATGTAAACCCATGTGATTTGACAGCAGTAGCCAACTGGACAATTTTGGTGACATCTAGACCATCACATTTTTAACCTGACATATGGCTAAACATTTACAAACATCCATCAAATTGATATTTATGGGAAAACTTTAAAAGCATATAAATTTCTTTAGATCTAAGACAGCAGTTTGAATTTGAACCTAATTTGTAAAGTTCAGTATGCATTTTCTTTCAAAGTTGATTAAGGTTTCATCAGCTTGTAACTTGTTTCTCCCAACTGCTATATATTTCAGAAAGTTTGTAAAAGCAATTACAGGCATCAGAACAAAGTTTGTTTGTCCTGATAAACACGAGGGTAACAAACTATTAAGATTTCACATTTCAATTAATGAGTCCAGTGATATTTCAGTTAATGAGCCAGCAACAGCTTGACACAACTTTTAAAGAATAGCTTCATGCATAGATGTGAAAACATACTAGTATTTCCATTTATGATTCAAGTTACATAATGGTTATGAACTGCATGATTCATTAATGAGCGAGCAACAGCTTGTGTATAACAAACATACCTAGGTTCCAACTGCCGACAAAATGGCATGGCATGGTTTAATGCCTTAATTAAGTTTAACATTTATTAATTATTTTCTAGGCACTTGTGTATAAGTAGTCACAATAAATTAATATCATGAATAGAAATGTTTATCTGTTCTTATTCTCTAGGCACTTAAAATAAATGAAATACCATGAATAGAAATGCAAAATAAATGATACCACCTTCCTAACTTACTAGATCAAACATTCGACGGCATTTATCATAACTATTATTGTTTCCTGGTATAACCTTTCCATTTGGAAGATGTTGAACACCTCTTGGAAAATCTATCCATTCTGCAAGAAAAGTAAAATTGAAGAAAAAAATCATGTCAATCAGTGTTATGCCTAAAGTTTCTAACACATATAATGTCACATAAGCTCGATTTTAAGCATCAGTTACCCAATGTGGCGTGTTTTACCTGGGTGCCCAAATTCATTTCCCATAAAGTTAAGATATCCTTCACCACCTAAACCCATTGTGACTAGTCTAATCATTTTGTGAAGTGCTATTCCACGATCAATCCTGGGAGTTGATGGTCTATCCAGTGCCATGAAGTCATACATATCCTACATGAGTTATAGCAGGGAACTCAGTGCACAGAATTCCACTGTAGTTTTGTTTTGCCAAACACGATAATTTCAGACAATTTTCATGTACAGCACATCAAGTAACAACAGAACATAACAAAAATAAATGATGCACCCATTGACAAATGGAAGAACAAGAACAAACGAAAGGATTATACACTATAGAAGCTCAAAGTTAACAATATAGAAAACAGAATATAAATAAACACCCACACACACAATATATATATACAAACATGCATATAATATACATATACATACATATACATATACATACATATAAACATATATATATATATATATATATATATACTTGTGGCCAGAACAATATTTTATGAATCTTTTACATTAGTTAATAATTATCCTCTTGCAAGGATTTAAATCTTATTCAATACCGTCTCTAGTAACAAGTTAGACTGGTACAATACTGGAATAACAGAAGCAATGCCAACTCATAGTGCTCAGTATCACTGGGGATATAATAGAAATTTGAATGTTTACCGGTACCAACTATATGGTCCAGAACCGATCCTTGGACAGGCCAATGTATACCAAGAAGTACGTACTGCTTCAATGATTCTTTGTCATCTTGTTCTTTGATATTTCAGGACAAAGTATTGCTTCATCATATTTGATAAAAGCAAAATGGAATCAACTTTATCAAAAATAGGTCTAATCATACATAATCATGGACTACCTTTATAAACAGTAACTGCTAAGAACAGTCTTTGTTTACCACCTGCATGATAACTGTGAAAGCCAGGAGCAGCTCAGTCAACAGTCCACAATTATGGAATCAACTTTATAAAAAATAGGTCTAATCATACATAATCATGGACTACCTTTGATTTTTAAGAAATTTTGCATGCCATTAAGAACATGAACATGAAACCATGATATGTGTATGATTGGGCTTCTTATTAAATAGTTGTAACAAATATCAAGGTAACACCATATAGAGTGAAAAATTAATATTTAATAATATATTAAAAAAAACAACGTTGGCCAGATTTTAGTAACATCCAATACCAAGGAACAACATTGATTAAGTACTGGGGAAAAGATAATTTTATATCAAGGATGATATCCATAATTTTAAATAACACTCGTGTTGATACAAAAAACAAATAATTTCTCTAAACTATCTAAAGGCTGAAGTTGGCCAATTTTTGGTAAGGCTGCTCCTACTTTACTATCAGAAAAATGTGCAATGCTCATCATCAGTGATATCTTGTCATCAAAAATGTGAAAAGTTGCTCAGTCTGCTTACCACCACACTTGTTCCACTTCCAATGTTTGCAGCTTTAAGGATGATGAAATCTCAATAAATAATTAAGCAACTTGCTATACAGTCAATTAATTGTAATTAAGCACAGTTGGGATATTCGTGTAAGTAGATTTCTAAATGAACTGGAGTTAGTTCATCTATATCTGCACACAACCTAGAAACCAGAAGCACACCATATTGCAGACAGAAAAGATATTCTTGTTATGCCTTCGTTTTAAATCCCATAATAGACATGCCACAATGCTGTTAAGGAAATTTTTTAAGAACCTTGTCCATTAGCCAAAATGCTATTGTCTTGTCACCAACAAGAGCTTGGTCATGGCTCTCAGCATAAGCCACACATTTTTCTAGCCACCTCCTGTTGGTGAGAGTGCTAACAATTTCGCCCATCTTCCAGTCTTCATCATTTAACCTAAACAAATCACAACAGAAGTCACTTTCCGCCCTCAAATACGTTACTTAAACTTGTTAAAATATCTTAATCATAAAAAAATAAGTTCTGTTGTGATATAGGAGTAGGACAACCCAAAGTTGCATACTAAAAGCCACAGCACAGGGCAGTAAAATTGATATAGGACTTCTAACCACGAGAATTAATTGAATTGTTAAAGTTTGTCTTTCTCATGTATGTAGCATATTAGTATAAAACTGAAAAATTAGAGATTGCTTCAAAGCTGGCCCTAGTAACTAGTGCACATAGGTACAGTAAAAATTAAGTCAACAACAAAAGTAATATCCTTGGACAGAAACAACAATAACAAATGCCCCAACTAATTTAAGTTCGGTTACATGGATTTTTTGCTTTCATGAGAGCTTGGACAAATACTCGAGCATTTTGTGGTGCAATAACTCAAAATAGTTGAGCTTATTCTCAAAATTTGTTTAAGATGTGTTAGAAAACTATTCAGGTGCAATGAAAATTGACCAAAAATGTTAAAAATGTGATTGACATAAACTAGACAAAGAAAAGTCCTATTCCTTCCATAAATTTGTTTTGCAGAATATGCGTGTCATGGTCAGTGGACCTTGCCTATTTTTTATTTAAAAATTATATGGACTTAGTATAACGTATCATCTGATATTTTAGGCTGCATCACAAATTAACTTATTTCTTGGACTATAAAGTAAGTCACCACTGTAGCCTGACAGTATCAACTATCAGCTTCCTAATGAACAGCATAGTGCAACTAGACATGAAATAACAAAGGCAAAGAAATTATATTTGAACATGCATTTCAAAAACTAAATAGAGATTTCCAAAGTAACATACTTCATAATTTCAATCCATTTATCTGGAATAGCCATATGAAGGCGATAGTCAAACCCAATACCACCATCTCGAATAGGGATGCAGAAAGTCGGCATACCACTTACCTATTTAAGTAAATTGTTAGAGTTAATGCAGACATTATGCAATGCCAATGAAAGCAATACAGGTAGTCCCTAAGTCGTGAATAGAAAAATATCTGAATCACTTAAAACATTATGGATGATCTTAAATCAAAATTTCATTATGTTCTAGGATATCCAAAGTTCCAAACAACTTTCGAAGTAACATTAAAGAAAATATAACAGAAGGAAACAAAAGTGTTTATGTTGTTCAAGTAACTGGTTGAACAACCATGATTTGAACAGGTCCAACAGATGTAGCTAAAGCAACTAGAGTACAATTGATGGGAATACAGAACTACTGCAACCAGTTTGTTATTTGAGGCAGAATATGTCTGCTGTGGCATAGAAGAAGCATTAAACCACTTGCTACTTGGAGTAACTGCAAGACATGAGGGAAACAACAAATACTTTGATGCAGATACAATATGCTATAGAGAAATAGCAAAATAAAGCTCATAAGAAAGAAAGGAAGAAAAATGAGATATTAAAGAGAGAGAGAGAGAGAGAGAGAGAGAGAGAGAGAGAGAGAGAGAGAGAGAGAGTTGAGTAGGGTAGAGAAAGAGGCAAGGATAACCAGCCAAAGACAACTAGAGTTTTTTCATCATAAGACAATGTACAACCTAGTTCTCACGTCTGGCAGTCATCTTTAAATGAACAGAATGGAAGACCATCGTCTTATACCTAAACTAGAACCACAGCCCCTAGGACTCCTAAGACTAATTCAGATAACAACTTGTTTCTCTATCAGTAGGAGTTCTATTACGGTTATAGAGGAAATTCAAATACAGTGCTGTAGGCATGTCAGTATAGAGTATAAAAGTTAGTACAAAGATCTGTAGATCCATGAAATGTAGAAAAACTCACCTTATCATTAAACTCAAATTTGACTAAACATGGACTTAGGGCTGCTCAGCTGTATCAGTTCAAAGCCTAGAGAACCATGACATCATAAGGTGTTTCCAGTGAAATAAGACTCAAATTGCTTCGGCGAGAAGATTTGGTGATGAAGGTCCATTACAGGCTTACTTGAATTATATTTTTCATAACCAGATTTCTTGAATTTTTAACTAAAAATATCTTGACCAATAATTGTACTAGTAACCATTACATTTTGTTGATCGAGGGACCTGCAAAAGTAATTAAAAATTCATGTAAATTGCTTCATTCACTGCTCTACAATAACCCTTGCACAATGATGAACTTTGGAACATCCAAATTCTTCATTTGTCACCAGATCCCCTTAATTTATTAATTCTTCAGCCTTCACCTTCATTATCATCATCCTATTCCTCTTCAGAATCCTATTCATCCAGAGCTTCTCCATTTTCAGCAACATCATCTTGGGATTCTAGGCATATCACTCTAACATTGTGACTATTCTGTCTTTTGAGGGCACCCTGCATCCATATTCTTCTCCAATCTAGCACATTGGGTATTGAAATTAATGCACTGAAGGCCTAAACTATTTTACTCTTTTAGTTGTTCTTATAGATCTAGATAAGACATCAAATTGTGCATTTGCAAATGTTGTCTCCTGTGGGATCAATGAGCTTCAATCCCATAATTAATAGAGATGTTGCTAAAATATACTGCAGCAGTGTAGGACAGATCATGTGAAAACAAAATAAAGCTGACTGTCCAAAAGGGAATGTTAACAGAAAGGGGTAAAACAGCAAATGATCTGCATATTCTAAGCTTACAAAAAAAAGGAAATAATCTGCAGTGCAGAATATAATATAAGCTTCTAAAAAAAGAAAAAAGAAGATTTTAAAAGGTGGAAGAGATATTGAAAAAGGAATATAAAGAAGTAAGAGCCAAGGCAAAAGATCATCACTAAAATAAAAAAACCCACACTCGCACACACATTTTAATTCCAAACAGCACCATTCTTCGTATATTTTAACCTATGATTATCCCACTACATATACTAACCAAAAGACGCTTGTCTCCTACCAAACTAAGACTTTAAAACCCCATGGAACCCAAAAATAGTCCAGATAATAAAATATTGTTTTTCTAACAACTGAACTTCCACTAGGATTAGGGCACATCAAACACAACATTTCAGATCATCTAGAAAAGCAATGAAAAATTGATACGATTGTATGAGAATTTCTCAAAGTAGGAAAACATTAATATATCTAATGAAACTCAAGCCTGATTAAGTGTACACTTAAACAACTCCATGGCATCAGAAAAATGCGTGGTACTTTGCTGTCACAAAATATGTGATAAAACAGAATTACTAATTTTTTTTCTTCTTCCAACAATTGCCATGTAAGAGTAAGGTTAAGTTTCTCAATATTCATTACATTCTAAAACAACTTGGGTTTCCAAATAATGAAAGAAATATACATATATATATACATATATATATATATACATATATATATATACATATATATATATATACATATATATATATACATATATATATACATATATACATATACATATATACATATATATATATATACATATATACATACATATATATATATATATACATATATATATACATATATACATATATATATATATATATATACATATATATATATATATATACATATATATATATATATATATGTAATTATTATGGGGTCCTTTGCCTCAACAATAAGAGCTCAATACTACAGTAAAATTTTACAAATAAAATTTGCTGCATTCATTGCCATTATACTTGATTGACAGAAGTTACTTCAATTCACCTTCCCATGTTATTATTTTGTAGGCCTATTAAACGAATAAGATTAGGATCGATATAAATGACACCTCAACTTCAATAAACTTCTCATGTGACAGTATTAGTATTATTTTTTTCATTTCTTATGCTTGATTATAAATAACATTTTGGCCATTGAGTCAACCTTAATTTAGTCAATGCTGCAGATGTATTGTGAGGTTAGGCCTTCATAGGGCAGTAAGAATGCTTTATTGAGACCTAAACATCCTAAGTTTAGATCATGGAAAAAAAACCACAGTGGTACCAGCTTCATGCACTCGGTGCACTTTATTAAAAAAACTGCTCACATAGCGACACGAGAACCTATAAACCTTTGTGCACTTATCTTTCATCTGACACACTGCAGCAGGTCTTGAGAACTGCAGATAATGTTAAGATTTATTATCACTTAGATCTCACATCAGAGAGGTTTAGAAAACCCAGTTGTAAAGAACATAACATCTCATTTTCCACTTTCTTCTGCAACACTAGAACACCATGTCTATATGCGTATACCACAACCTTGTTCAATCAAATTAGAACACTGAAAATAACTGCAAGTTTCTTATTATGTAGTGTCCAAAATTTCCGACCTTACAGTAGGCAACTATTAGAATATTTCAAGACATCTATTTTTCAATGAAACATATACAAGAAAAGGCTTCTCATGCAGATGCCGTTTTTCTATTATGATAAAAGTGGGCTACAATTCAGTGCCTCCATATCAATTTTCATATTCAAATGCTAGTCAATGAAATTTGGGTTTTATCTGTGTTTTCCTGATTATATTTCATTAATTTTTTCAGTGCAGAAACACTAAAACAAATAAACAGATGTTCCACTTACATCTTCACCGATAGTAACAGCCTCTGGATAAAGCCCATGGATCATTTCATTTACAAGCATCAAGTAGACCACTGCATCCACATCAGTAGCATACCCAAAGTATTCATTGTAATTCCCAGTAAAACCCACCTGAATTAAGCAAAGAACAAAAGATCAACATAAAAGAAGATTATTAAATGTTAAAATAATTCAATATCAGAGAATTCCTAGATAGAGCTTCTCCTCAACAGAGTAATGTAGATAAAAATGGTTAGTTGCCAAGCAGCTTCAGCAACATTTACAAGGCTGTAAAACCATAACCCCTGAATTATGAACATATTTATAATACGAGCTTTAAACATCAACAACAAGAATAATAAAGCCATAATATCCCACCTATTTGGGATCACCTACATGGATCTTTATAGCCATTGAACCCTGTAAAAAATCATATTCTTAATTAAATTAAAAATATCAAAAATTTAATTATAGTTTCTAATAAGATATTTAGGTCTCACTCTACCTTTTTATCGTATGAGTAATATTAATTGTTTTACATCTTTACATCTATAGGTCTCTTGGGTACAAGTTCATATCATCTTAAACAATTCTTGTTCATGAATAAAACATTTTTTTCTATCTTTCCTAATAACTCCCTACATCCACATTAATATTTTACGACAAACTTTTTTATATGTTATTTCTTAACCATCTAAATCTAATACTCATATCCATTGAAGTCTTGATGCTCCTCTCTATTTTAATTTTTAACCATCTAGATTTTACTCTACTTTATCTATATATTTATCTTGTTGAATAATTGATCTAAGATACATAGAGCTTTTACTTAATAGAACTTTATTATTAAAATTACATCTCAGATATCTAGTCTCATTCCTACTCAATTTAAGACTTTTAGTTTTTAACGTTTGTCTATGTAACCCAAGTTTAGAATTAATTCTATCTAAATTATCCTCAACTAAGACAATATCATTAGCAAATAAAAGACACCAATAATGTATATCCAGGCCATGACCGATCAGTTTATCCATTACTAATATGAAAAGATAAGGATTTAATGCGGATTCTTGATGTAGTCCTATACTAAAAATAGTAAACTCATTAGACACTCTATGTATTTTTAACCTTTTGAGACTTAATAGTCATACATGTCTTTTTATAATATCAATATAATTAGTAGATATACCTTTATTTTCTAAAACCCACCATGATAATCATTAGTCCATGATCAGTATTCATCATTGTGGTCAAACCATCAAATCTAAACCTATCAAACTTGTACATGATTGAGGAACTCTATCATATGACTTTAAACATCAACAAGGTCCCAAAAGGTTGTAGCAGCACTGCATATTAAAGAAAATCAACCAGAATCATATTGTATAGAAATAAGTATTTTCCAAAGTTGACAAAGAATCAACTAACCGCAAGTCCGTGATGGATGTACATCATTGAGGTCACACCATCAAATCTAAACCCATCAAACTTGTACTCCTCCAGCCACCATCTTGCATTTGATAATAGAAACCTTAAAACCTAGATAAAGGAAGACAAGAAGGTGAAAATTATTAATTTTAAAGAAGCAACATAAGTGTATGGAATTGAAATTTTTCGTACTTCCCAACTTCCATAGTTGAAAAGGCGAGAATCCCACATCCAGTGATGGCCCCGTGGGCCAGGATGGAAATAGTGTGAGTCAGTACCATCAAACTGATTCAGTCCATCAAGTACATTGTTTGATGCATGACTGGATAAAAGAAATAACAAGTTTAGAACAAATGGTGTATTTCTCAAATTGTATTACAAACAAAGATACAAAGATATAAAAAAGTAAGTTGTGCTTATGCCAGATGTTGACAGATGTTGACAAATATACGTATGCTTACAGAGATAGACAAGTGAAGAAAAGGTTGCAAACACATGAATGTGTACATATAATCACTTTGTATCATGTATCAGATACTTCTAGTCCTTTTAGACAAAATAGTATAGGCATACCAAGCATCAACATGTCTAGCCAAGAACATAGCAGACAGAAAGGTTGAAGCACCAAACAACTACATAACAACCATCAGAAGGCAGTCCACATCTCTCTTCTGCACACCATATTTCAAGTGCAAGGATTGGATAACTTAAACAGCTTTCCTGTGGAATATGAAAATGACTCCAGTGGAACAAAAAGGTAAAAGCAATTTTCTCAAATGACTAAATTTAGAATCTTGTTTAATATCATAGTAAGTATATTTTCTCCATCTGGTGAGACTCTAACTTAAGTAAACAAAAAAATTCATTTGTAGGAGTAAAATTCCAATCACCAGGAAGAACAGCTCATAAAAGGCAAAAGGCCCTTGAAAGCCACTTATACATGACAATCTCCTGCACTCATGGATGAACTTCCAGAATCCAATTTACCAATTACATTTTTATAATATTGTTGATAAGGCAATATATGCAATTTACCAATTACATTTTTTCAGCCTTCTTCAAGACATTAGATATCATCAGTCTAAGCATTCAAGGTTATATAACATGATACAATAATATGCTTTAAAAGTTGCCTAAGCTTATAATTGGAATATTGGCATAACTTTCTCTTGATCTATTTTCAACCGCAACTGACCTTTTTTTTCTCTTGAGATGCAATTGGAGTTAGAATGATATAACCACTGGACTAGTATGAAAACCAACACTGACAACCGTTTTACAAGGGATAACACATTACACATCGTTTGTAAAGGAGCTTAATTTACAAATCATCAGTTGTAAAGCATCAATTTCATGTAATTGACAAAATTCTGACCAAATTGGGATTTTCCTTATTGCAGTATGCATTCATATTTCAATGTGCATGTGCATGCCGGCCATGCCATAACACTAACTACTAAACTCTTTTTGTAGAACAACCTGACTCATAAAAGAATCCACTATTAGGAAAAATTCTGGCAAGGACTTCTCAGATGACTTTGATCCAAACGCTGCTTCAAGATCTTTACTTTATTTCAATTACTTCACTAGTCCTATCAGAGGTTTGTTAAGATTGACTCTCAACTAGCAACTACATTTATTTAACCTTCGTCAGTGTTATCATTCTGCCAACATAATGATACATGACAATCTAATTTTAACTAATTAGCAATAATGTGATTCTTGTGGACATAATGAACTTTAGAAATCCAATAGCCTAAAGAACTCTAAGAAAAACTCAAATAAAGCTAATACATAAATACGGAAGCATATGCATATGAAAACTGAGAACTAACATTATGCACAAGTGTAAATCTTAACCAGAAAAGGAAAATACACCAAAAACACAAAAATAATGGATTCCCATATTTTTATTTATAGTATACTAATTACCATTGCTATATACTTCAATAGTCACCTGTGAACAATATCCATGAGAACAAGAAGACCTAGCTCATGAGCTCTGTCAATCAAGGACTTCAGTTCATCTGGGGTTCCAAAACGGCTGCTGGGTGCAAAAAAGTTGGTAACATGATACCTGAACAAGTATTAAAGCCAATTTGTGGTTGTTAGAAATAAGGAAGAAAGTAACATAGGTGTTACAAAGTGACAATGAACAAGAATTAAATGTTTCTATAAAAGGTTCCCCTAATAATGGTACAAACTACGAATAAAGCATCATTTGTGTAGGACTTTTAAAGAATGGTTCGAAATATCAACCCTACCAGTCCATACAAACCGATACATATTTTTCTGATACCTGACTTGTATACAGGGCAATTTCACCTGGTCCAGTACAAGGTGTACTAGCCAGTACATATTCCATGTGAGCGGTCAAGTCGATATTTGACTGGTTCACTGACCTAAATTAAACCACTTTCTTCTACCCTCCCTACCGAACTTCCTTTGTTCTCTTTAACTCAATCTCTTAAAATCTCTCGATTTCAATTCTAAAGCTCTCAGCATTCCTCATATCTTAGCAAATCAAGAATCAAACTCCTGAAAATAGGAGTGTTTCGCTTTAAAACAAGGCAATTCTGAAAATAAATTTCAATTTTTATATTATCTTTTGTTGATTGAAGCTTTGTTTTAAGGTTTTCTCATCTTAAGATCATGGTTGCATGCATCGATTACTTCTAAACCTATGCATTTCTACTATGTTAGTTTCTACCATAGATATATCTCACTCCAACTCGAATCTACACAAATCTAATATAGATTTATCCAATGATTAAAATTTCATATCGTACCGGAGTTTCGAGATTCGCTCAGTACGGTACGGGTATATACATACATATATATATAAGTGAAAAAAAAACCCGCCAAGGCGACATCGCCTCTCTTCTCCTTGCGCGGATGAGAAGTCGCCGAGAGACGAGGAGGGAGAGCGGTGCAGGTACTCCTCTTCTTCTCCCTTTTCTTTCTTCCCCTTCTCCCTCTTCTTTCTTCTCTCTCGGTCACACCCCTCTTCTTTCTTCTCCCTCGATCACCGCCGATTTAAGACAATAACGGGGTGGAAACAGCTGAATCGACGGTACCGCCCGGTAGTGGGCAGTCCGTGTACTAATCTGCTGGTGGACCGGTACATACCGGCCAGTACGGGCGGTATTATTTGAAATTAAAGACCTTGGATTTATCTCATCCAAGCCAGAGAAGTTCAGATCCGAAGGATATCACTTTGGATCCGTCCGATATCCTCACGAATCCAGTCTAAATTTGCTTAAGTGTAGGCTAAAAGGATCCAACTAGATCAGTGCAAATTTGACCTATAACTATGCAGATCTAAGGTAGATCAACACAAGATTTTCAATTTCGAATAATACCGCCCGGTTTTTCACTTATATATATATATATATATATATATATATATATATATATATATATAGGCGACGTCACGGATTTTTTTTTACTTATATATATAAATAAATAAATATATATATATATAAATAAATATAGAGACGACATTACAATTTTTTTAACTATATATATATAAATATATATATATAAATATATATATATACCGAACGGTATACCGAAATATACCGCTCGGCAAGGTTCGCCGTACCGTACCATACCAGCGTTTCGACCCGGGCTCGGTACCGGTACGGTACGGTATACCGCTCGGTACACCCAGTACGGGCGGACCGGTACAGGGTGGTCCGCGTACCGCTAGCCTGTCGGACCGGTACGTACCGCCCGTACCGGGCGGTACAGTCCGGTACGGCAAACCTTGCCGCTCGGTATATAATACCATACCGTACCGAGCGAATCTCGAAACTCCGGTACGATACGATATTTCAATCCTTGGATCAGCATAGATTCAGCATAGATCTGTCATTTTGGTTGCTAGAGTACCAAAACATATAGACTTAACATCCAGTTAGTGTCAGGATAATTTGATTGATAGGTAAATGCCATCACGTCAATTTTAGCAAACACTAGCTTCACAACTATTTCTTTTTTACCCTTAATCAATAGACACAAACATCTAAAGAAACATGTTTTTCCCTTAAACAAGATACACATCTAAAGAAACATTCTGACAGAAAAGGCAACAGGGCATAAAAATCATACCCAAAGCTTGCATAATAAGAGTGCTCCTGGATGGCCATTATCTGAACAGCATTGTACCCAAGCCTTTTGATTCGAGGCAGAACATCATCCCTAAAACTAGCATATGTGTTAATCTTTGGTTCCTGCATATGTCCATATATTAGTGACTTCGTAAAATTTTTCACGTCATAACTAAAACTTTATTGCACAAGGATTTCTCACGTCCTAACTAACTAAAAATCTCATAATCCAAGGCTTCCAAGCTACTTTCACATCCTATCTTACATGGAAGTGGCTTCATTTGAACACTTACAATGAATGACCACTTCGGTGACCAGAATAAAAGCAAACAAGCATAAAATATGGACTTAGACACAGAACTATTGGTATTCTATAATGCTTTTTTCACTTCAAAACATCTAATAGTAATCAAAGAATGCAAGAAATTCTGGAATTAAGCCTTCGATAGTTGTCTGCATTCTTTAGAAGCAAAAAAGCATCCAAAGCAAAAGCAACATTTCAGTTTTTAGTGCTACATGTCACTACCAAGCTGAGAGAAACTTGGCACACGGTTTGGGAGTAAAGTGAACACGTAAAGTTATTATTCTCCTTCTCTCTTTCTATGACTTGCTCTTGCTCTGAACTTCAGTAAAATATTCGTTTTAAACAAAATATTTGAGTAGTGTCAGCAAGAGGTCACCACACCTCTCTTTCTCACTCCTCTTTCTTCTGTTTCTTTTTTTATTTTGATTTGTGCTTGTACACCCTGTGATGGCATGATGGCTCATCATGTATGCCAATGACACTTGTTGTGCCAAGTGCCAACCACCAGCCAATACAATGTTTCCTTTAATAATCTTTCCAGCCTGAATAAATTCACATCAATGAGTTGATATATAAAGAGGCACCTTTGTATCTAGTATAGACTATAAAATTATGAATAAAAAAATAAAAATATCCCGATAGAGTTAAAGTAGTTTAAAAACACAGACATTCAAGTGGGAGGCCTGTTATTCCATAGCATGAAAAATTCATTCCTGTTTTTTTTTTGTGTTTCCTTGCAAATGAAAATGAATTTCTTGTGGCAGCACTAAGGATGGTGACACAATTAAGATATTGGCACGACAAATACACTGCACATACACAGGTGTCACAGACACAGGAATGCTAATATTTGATTATCAAATATGACACGAACCACCAGCCTTTGGGAAATTTGGTATATTGTATATGCACCGACATACTATAACTGAAAGAGATTAGATTTGGTTTTGAAATATAAGGATCAAATATCCAAATTTTTTAAGAGGACGGCTCTTAGTACAATGGTAAGATTGCTCCTTTGCAATATGCAAGTACCATGGTTTGAGTCTGCACAGTTGTGTGTATTATCCCTTCTCAAATCCCATATTGGCAAAAGCCTTATGTACTGTGTTCACCCGCTTTTTTTAACGATCCAAAGTTTTAAAAAATGGCTTGTAAACCAAATAAAACTAGAAGACTCTGAAGACACAAGATGACAATGTTGTATGCACCACAACTTGCCTTTCAAATCAAGAATGGTTATAATAATAATCTTCCAATTAAAACTATAAGAATATTAGAAATGCAATTTAATTAAAACACATGTAAATCTGAATTCATTCACCTATGCACATGTCACCTTTTTTGACATCCTTACTAAATTTACAGAATTCAAAAGAAAAGCCATATATAGAACAATCTATTGAGTACACTTTTGTATTTTATTATTTTAAAAGTTCGGTACTAGTCATTAATTCTAGAGATTAGAAGCTTCGAGATGCCAAATTTCACAAAGATTAGGATGAGAGGGGATATCATTAAATAGGTGCATGTCAAGTACAAGAGAAACTTGGTATTTACAGAAAGAGGAAAAAAGATGATAAAAAACCAAAATAGCAAATAATCATTATTTTCATGTACATCCAATGCAACTTGAAATGTCTGCTGTAGATCATTGATGGAAATAAAAGACAAAAGTACAAAATTCAATAGTAACAATTAAGAGGAGGTGTTCATACCGGACTACTCATTCCAACATGTGACTCATAAATACGCAATGATTTTGGAGCTTTCGGTTGAGGATGTTGGAACACATACTTTTCCTGTGGATGCATTTAAAATTATTTTAAAAAATAAGCAGATGCACGATTGACCTTTATCCAACCAAGCAAGAGTTTATCAATCCCATGAGATAGAAGCAACTATAGAAGTAATCACATTAGTGTAAAGAGAACTGAATATGTAAACAGCCATACCAGTTATTTTTTAAAAATGCTAATGATCAAGCACAGCAGAAAATAACATGCCATACCTCTTCAGGTGGATCATAGTATATTCCGTTATATGGTATTTCACCTGGGGCCTGTACAGAATATTTGATCCAAGCAGGAATGGAATCTTTGATGCCAGATGGAGTGTCCATGCGTATCTATCATGTATTTAACTTTTAATTACTGACAATTCATAAATGTGTTCCACATATTTGTGAATTCAATATACTGACTAGAACTTAACATGTAGCATGATCAAGAAGCACATAAAAGAAAGAACAATATACTTATCCTTCTGACATTTCAGTACATGAAATTAAAACAATTGCAAAAGATGCTCTAAGAGAAGAAACTATCTCTATCATGACATTATGTGCTCTCATCTTGTTCTTCTTAATAATCTAAAAACTAAGGACGCAACAATGCTTTTTCTTAATAATGGCTCAAATATGGTTCTGCATTTATTGAAAACTGTAATAACTTTGAATATTAAAGCATAAATATCCCAGATTTCTTATAATCAAATCATGGTTTAAATGATAAAAGTTTGTCGAAGGAAATCATAAATAATATATCATATTTTGTTGAGCCATTAGAGTTCAGCCTTCTGAGTTCTAAAATTTTATACAGCTAATGTTAATATTTACTGGTATATCTGGAGCGGTATAAATTACAATGAAGATTTGAAGGTAGCTGAGAGAGGAAGATTTACTGTGAAGAATGAGAACACTAATTTGTTATGGGACCAATGTGCAAACTGAATATATTATCTGCGAAGCCAGCAAGTGTTTCAAGGTTTTCAATTATAACCATCTAGCAAAGATCTATAATGCCATGGCAACTTCAATTGTCAGTACTACGGTACAAAGAAGTAATATGCCACGGTGGGGCATTAAAGACTATTACCATTGGGTCTGTTGTAAACAGAGATTCTGCCTTGTTTGCAGATGAAATTGAATTGCCCGTTTTGGCAGTCATCTTTAGATAAAGTCAACTTCAACACCCAGGAGACCTTTAACTTGTGATTCATGAATGAACTCAGCTAACTAAACTTAGATGTGGTGATTCAATAGCAATTTAAATAGCCAATAGGTTGCCAGACATGTTAACAAAACAGTATTGATGAACAAGTAGAACCAAGTAAATTCATCTCCTAGCAAATGCCCAATGCTGCTAAGATCAATGTGGAGTCCTTTAAAACATCACCTGAACTGACCTTTAAAGGGTTCCTAAAAGAATTTTCTTATTCGAGCTAGAATGATATTAAGACTTGAACACGACACACTCCTACAGTCCTGAAGAAGATAAAAGACATGACAAGGACAGAATAATAGGAATAAATAGCCTCCTCAATGTAGCACTAGCATGTTTATAAACTTGCCAAATTTAGAAAATAATGAAGGTGTCTTATCAAGTGGAACCTAAGTACGTTTCTGGTAAACCTCTAACTGTCAAAATTAAAGTTGAGGATTTAATGTCTGTGTTTAATTGTCTGCCATATTTAGAAAATAATGAAGGAGCCCCGGAGTCCAAGACACCACCTAGAAAAATGGAATTCCATTTGCTAGAATAAGAATTTTCAAGTGGATCCTAAGTATATTATTGGTGAACCCTCTAATTGCCAAAATTGGAGTTAAGGATTCGACATCTGTGCATGATATGCTCCTTGACGTAGCTTAGGGTGAGGAAAGCCTCAATATTATCCATAAGGCCTCCACAAAGTGTAAAGTTACTTACCAGATGCTTGAAAAGTTAATAACCAATATCAAAAGATCCATATTGTATGAATGCTTTTTAACGTAATCTAGATTTTACGTTAGGGAAATGATATCAAAAGCTCCAATAAGCAAACATCCTTTTGAAATCCATTAGGGAAATGATAATTCCTAAATTTAGCATCATTAGCACATATTGGATGATATTTCCAGTTTGAGCTCGATCCATATCAAGGACCAAGGAAATCTGTTATGCCTAGACCGGTACAAAATGGGTGGTATGTATTGGTTCAGGCATAGACCTATACATGGACTGTCCCGTTTTGGGTAATCTGATCCAAATCAGTATAAAAACAAAAAAAAAAAACTAAAAAAGGGATGCATGGAACACTGTCGTTCGCCACCGCCTATCTCCCAGGTATGCTCTCTCCTATTCTTCTCCTCCTCCTCTTCTTCCTTCTTGTTGCTCCTCTTCCTCCACTATCTCCCCTTCTTCCTTCTTCCTCCTCCCTCCTTTTCTTCCACCACCTCTTTTTATTTTTCTTTCTCCTTCCTCCTCCATTGTGCCTTCCTCTTCTCCTTCTTCTTCATCCTCGAAACACCAATATGTACCAGTGTACTGGTACCGACCACTACATTCCGGTCCAGCTAGCGACTGGTATGGGTCTGGTACACAATATGACAGTCCTTGACAATGACCACCCCATTACTCATGGTTCCAATCCAGTATGGTACTTTCTGTCTAGTAAACCTATTGAGCCAGGCTTACCACTCAGTTTCTCCCCATTATAAGGCCTCAACAGGGAGGGAAGCCCAGTTAATTTTTTTTGTTTAGGAACCCCATTGGCTCTCCCTCCCTCTCTCATACTCGCCTCACTCATGCAGTTTGCTACCACCCACCCGCTCGCCAATCCACGCCACTCGCTGATCCACCAGCTTGGCTGATACTTCTCCTTCTCCTCTCCTCTTATTCTCCTCAAACTTCTACCTTCCTAATAGGCTAATACTACAATATGTAGCAGCATACCAGACCCATACTTGTCCACACATGGACTGATATGGATCTGGTACCAAAACTTCAAACCATGCTGGGAACATCCCATCTCACCGTTGTGTTCCTAACCTTAACATCCATCTCCATTCCCAACCGTCCTTCCCGTTGTTACACACCCACTCCCCTTGATCAGACCTACTGAGTACTGAATATTAAGCATTGGTTCATTTTTCATTTTAAACATGCCTTCAAATCCCCCCTCCCCCCAACAGCATACATGCACACTCTTCTTCTCCTTTTCTTCTTCTCTCTCTATGAATCAACTCATAGTTGAGTGCTTTAAAAGGGATTTTTCGCTTTGGAAATCTGAAGTTTCCTATGACTTCTAGTAGGTAACAATCTGTAGAAACTCAGTAACCTAGTATACAACAGTGAAGTAACATTGTTATATAATAAAGCTAACAGGAACATCAAGTTCATACCGAATTTCTTTTTTTACTTTATAATAGCATTTAGTAGACAAATATAAGCCTATTGTGTTGACAGATAAAGGCGCATGAAAGGACAAGCCACTAGTCCATGGAGCCAAGAGCACGTGAAAGTCCAAGAATTCAAATGTCATCTTCATGCCATGTATATTGGCTGATATTTACCATGCCAAGGCAAACATGCATGGGCCATGGCCATGCCAGCGGCACAGGAGGCATAATAGGATAAGCTTACTGTGGCTCATGCCTGTTTCATGGTGTGTAAGTCATGGATGAGTCATGTGTCCACAAACAACTTATTGGCACACTCTTAGCATAGTGCACGAATATGCCAGAACATGAATTCCATGATATTAATGTTTGTAAAAATGAAGAGAAAAGAACTTGTCACATATTAATTAACACATCCAACCAAAGTTTGAAGGAACAAACCTTTACACGTGAGCCATGAGGAATAGGTGGTGAGCCATCTGCATGATTAGGTAGAAAGACCTCCCAAACACCATACTCATTCTAAACATAATTAATAAATATTAGTCACCAGATAAAACTAGAAAAATGTTGTACATATGTGAACAAACATCTAAACTGTTTTCAGCAAGAAAGTGCCATGAAATTACTGTTCATATGGAACGTGCATATAATCCAGATAATGGGTATTCATGTTCATTAATCAACAGAAGGGGGAAAGACATCTTAAAATGTTATCCCTAAAATTTCAAACAAATGAGATGTTGCAGGTATCAGCAGAACATCAATGATAAGCTCTAACTCTCTAGTATGATTTAGCTGGTTTCAGCATTTGAAGAACCAGTATAGATAACTTTTTAGTACAAACTAGGTGCTGTTTGCCATTTTCAACCACGATAAAAGACCTGAATGATAAAGAAGGTAAAGTATCTCACATATCATCTCTTAGCAGATTTCTCAGCTATATCAAAAATTAGTTTAAACTTTAAACACAAAAACATGAACAAAAATACTGCATAGTACTTTACATGAAGTTATAAAGTGTTATAAATCAATCTACAACAGACAGCACAATTTCAACCCAAACAGAAAAGAAATATCAGGACAGATGATCATACCTGGGTCATGACATTTGTGTTGGGGTTCCAATTGTTGAAGTCACCAATGAGTGTCGCCCACTGAAAACCAAAACCAAGCATTTAATTCTTGAAGACACTGAGGTGTACAGAAAATTTAATGAAAGCTGAAGTACTTAAGTTTAACTGTTTAAGCATGCAGGAGTGAGACAGCTAGCTAACAACCAGCAAGAAAGTTTGCTACTTTGTTTATTCAATTTGATCATCGAAATATGATCCGATGGAAAAAGAAATAGTGAGATTCTTTCTTCCAGCTTTTACGTTATGGAACACAAAATAGAAACTTCTGGTATTACAAAGAATTCCCAAGAATTACAAAGACTTTGCCTGTTAGTAAGGTTTACTCGCGATATGTAAGGCATAAACATTAGCTAGACACAGATAGGGTCATCCCTCAAGCACAAACAATCATTGTAGTAGAAAAAAAAAAACTAGGGCTTCTGTTATTTTTATAAATAATAAAATTTACTTTCATTATAAATATAGACTTTATCTACAAAGTTCAGTATCAAAAGCAAAAGGTAAACTATAGACTATAGAAAAGACATTAGAATTGAATTTAATCACTAATTCAATGGCTTCCATACTCACTAAAATAGGACTTGAACAACTCGACTTAGAATGCAGACCAGAAACCTAATGGAGAAACACCATAGATGATCAACCCAAAAGTTGCACAAAGCTTGAAAACTAGATGACCAATTCCTGGACATATTTAACACCAATAAAAAGGACTAGCATGGCATGATTGCTCTCGCATCAGTAGTCTTCACAAATGCATCTAATCTTAATATGGCATACTACATAAATACAAGTGCCATAATTTATCTAACAAACCTGAGCAAGCAATTTTCTGACAGTTGATTGTATGTATAAAGGCAGCAAGGCACTAATGTGCAAAACCTAGAAGATGGATATAACCAAAAAAGTTACCAACCTTTGCTCCTGGGGCCCATTCTTGATAAGTGACACCACTAGCACTGGAAATTGAACAAGTGCAATTTCACTATCATAGACAAAATATTTAGATATTTCTAGTTTGAAAAAGACCAAAATATTAAATCAATATAACAACATGAATATCAACTCAAATAACGATACCATGAGATATTAAAAGATAAACCATTATGTCCCTATTGAGACATCTGATTAACTAGTACATTATTGCACAAGTAGTCGGTCTCAGATTCGAGTCCACATCCACATGTGAGCGTCTTATACGTTAGTTGATGTAATGAAAATTTCTTCCAATTAAAAAAAATAAACCAACATAACCTTGGTACAGGATCTTCCACTAGGGTGTCAAAAGAAGGAAAAGAAGTATATATACAAGCAATTACAGAAAGTCTTTTGGTTTTTGTTATAATTTCCTGTGGCATAGAGAGTTTTATGACTTCATAACAGAGTCGAAAGTTACAAGGGCATAAATGTGCACTTGCAATTAAACAGAGTAAATCATCCATTTTTCTTCTTTGATCATTAAGTCAACTTTTGGGATGTACAACCTACAGTCATCATGTGGGACTATTGATGTATACCTATACCAAGCAACCAAGAAAGGAGTGCACGAGGGTTCAAATCATGTGCATGAAACCATCAACTAGAATAACATCATCAAGAAATAACATCCTCCATAAAGATCTATCCTGTATATGTCTAGTATGTTCATCCAAATCATGTGCAGCCCAATGCACAAGGCACCACCAATGCGGGGACAAAGGAGAGCCAATGTCCCAGCCTTATTCCTGTGAGAAAAGAGACTGCTCTCATTGATCGATAAGACTCCTAACAAATATTTGGTTGCTGCATTTTAAAGTCTAATTTGTCGCATAGTTTGAGACTTTGAGTAACTAATCAATTTCAGGCTCCCATTTTTGGGTCCAGATGTCTTAGGCCTTAGTGATCCACGTGTAAATTGATTCAGAGTTCGAAATAGGCCTTAGCAACTGATGGCAAGTCGAATTGGGTGAAGGTCATAGGGTCTTCACTCTTCGGATCATCACAGGACCTACATTTGAGCCCAAATTATTTATATGGTGTGCTTGGTTTTTTAAAAGGTGAGAAGCATGCTGACTTTTGCCTCAGTCAAGTTTAAGTAGGAGGTGACCGTAGTACATTTCTTACATGCAAACCTAGCTGTTCAAATCCTTGATTACCAACTCTTCCACCCCAAATACAATCCCCCAATGTACCTATGTGATTCTACTAATGCCAACACCAGTGTAGCATTGTCACATAGGGAAAGTACAAGTAGAGAAACTCACCCCTTGATCCTTGCTTTTTATCTAGATTGCAGCCACTATCCACACCACTTATCGATGCTCCTTGAACTCTGAGCCTTCATTTCACCTAGATTTGTATGCCCTCACACTCCGGTTCTACTCGTGGGCTCGCCTTGTTATTGAGAATCTTCATTTTGGCATATGTCCACCATGTCATTGATATCCTGCAAATCAACTAACCCATCATGCAATCCTCACCCCCATGGTCCAACTTATCAGACCACCCACCACACCATTTTCACTGGCCAAGATCCTACTCCATACTAGCCCCTTTTCACTATGTTGCATTCAGCCCAAAAATTGTCACATAAAAAAAATTATAAATATAAGATGAGCATGTTTATCAACTGGAAGAAGTTAACCACTTTGGGATTAGAAAGATAGTGGTGATGAAAGAGGAACAGAACATAAATGACTTTATCATATCTTGGTTTGGTTGCTGTCAATGAAAGAAAATTACGAAATAAGCTATCAGCGGACATCACTAAGATGATAATAAATAAGAAAATTATGAATAGAAGGACAGATGACAGAAACAATCTATAAACTAGATATTAGACTTCTGAAGACAAGAACATAGATACAAATGAGAAGTTCAAATCAAGAATGATAACTTTGTAGCACAGCGAGGTGAGGGACAAGGGAACATAGCTTTTGTTGGAATATATATAGCCAGATGCATACCTGCGTTTGAAGCCAAACTTCTCATAGCCACGAGAAAATGCATCCAAACTACCTTCATACTGATCAATCATCTCGCGCATTTTCTTGTACTGGTTATATCTGCAATCAAACATTAGAACAGATTCCTTTCCAAACTTAAGTTCTTAAATTTAACAGTGACATAGATAGGCAGGAAGAAAAAGGAAGAAGCATAATTCACTTCTGTAAAGACACGTGACATAATTTTATGAAAAACAAAAGGAAAACATCAACCACATTTTAGCTGGAAAATTTTGAAAGCAGACAAGTGATTGGTCAATCTTGTACATTACTCAACATACCTAGCTTGTCATGCTTAAGCTATCCAATATATTTATCACCATTAAAACATTCAATCTATAAGTCATTTCAGCACTCATTTTGCAAAATATCATAATTATTATTTTTTGGTCTTCAGAAAAATCTGTGCCAAAGATCTAATGCCAGAAAAGCCCAGAAAAAGTTATGCTCTAAATCCAAGTTTGCTGTTTAAGATAAAAGCATGTAAATTCTCACTCAACATGTAGTGCAGTTGATTTTCTAAAAGTTGGCACAAAGAAGTACACAGTAACACTGAAAAAATATGTTTCCCAAAACAATTGTAGTCATAAAATATTATTCCCTCATTAAAAATAACTAAAAAAAGTGACATATAGAAACCTACCGGTAATCAAGATGTGATCGATGACCCTTTAACAATGGGTCGATTTCATAAATTCTTCGTCCACTACCAGGTGAAGGAACACATCTTGGTTTTTCCTCAACATCCTCAACCCTTTCTTTGGCTTGAGAAGAATTTGTGCCTTTGTCACCTTCACTTGTACTTTCTGCACCAGTAAGTTCGGAGGCAGTGGATGTCTGCCCTGCATCTGGCTCAACCTTGTCCTCAAAGGACTTATAGATCAGGTTATTAATTGCAAAATTAGGTTTATTGCTTAGGCTATTTAGGCACTATAAAAAAGCCCATTCCAGGCACAAAAATAGATAAGGAAAAAGAATCATGTTAAACTTAGTGGCTTTATTGTTTGTAAACAATTCAACCTACAACTAAATGAGACACCATAACAATGACACCAACGAAAAAATGAAAAATATGATATAAAACTTTTGACGAGCTTAAAAAAAGATTCCATGCGACTATGTGAGACATATGCTTTCTCAACATAGTGATTTTGAGGTCACAAAACCCGCTGAATGAATGAAGATAAGCCTATTCTATGATGCTTTCTCAACACAGTGATTTTGGGGTCACAAACCAGCTGAATGAATGAAGATAAGCCTATTCTATGATACCTGCAGATTACTTGATGCAGCTTCAGTGTTTGAGGTCGGAAGAGTAGAAGATGGCACATCATCACTTTCAGTACCTGGAACTAGCACTTTGCCGGTTGCAGAAACAGTTGTATATGCAGGGTCAGCATCAGAAGAACTTCCTGCGGTTATTTTCCCAAAAAGAGACACCTGATAAGCATTAAAAGAAAGAAAAATAACCACTTAAGGTGGCAAAAGCTAAGATGAGAACCAATGATCCAGCAAAACACAATCTGTCTGGATATGATAGATGGATCAATAAGAGACTAAATTAAATCCTATGTAATATTAAGCTAAATCATTTAATTTGATCACACCATTAGACCTTCAAAAGTCCAAAAATACAACTGTAGCTGCAATGCTCAAACATAATGCTACAATTTCTCAGAGCATGAAAACAGTAAGCCACGTAGCACTCACTTTATTATTCTTATGCAATAGAACAGACCCTCTTCAGCATCTCTTTTGTTATTAATCATTCTAGAAAGTGAAAACTAAAATTTACAAGCAGTAACTCCAACAGATCCATACGAGTGACTCCAACAATTCCATACAAATGGCTCCAACAAACAAAGATTCTTCAAGGCTGAACTTTTTTATGAAATCAATTCCAAATGATGGATTCAATATTCATTTCAAATTTGGCACTAAATATAACCAATTGGATAACCATCTTCCAGAAGATAGTCTTATTTCAATTGTCATCAAAACTATCTACCATGGGGAGCCAGAAAAGCTGGAGGAGTATTAGCATTCCTCTCCTTCAATCCTGGATAAAAGAAGACGAAGTCACTTTCTTGCAGGCAAGACTCATCAACTTCTCTTCCTATAGGAACATTAATGCAGAATTGGTAGTGCAAAAAGGGCATGGCATTTTTACTAGTCTTGAATTTTTGTACCATGCAGTTCCATGGAACCATCAATTTCAACATAATCGATCTTGTTTGGTACTTTGGTTGCAAAAGCCATAGCCCAAGAATCAATCAGAAATGATATAATTCTCTGCAAACTTGATGTTCTACAAGCCCTTACATCATATGACAAAACAAAATTTTAATAATCTTTTCCACATAACTTCATCATTCCTCTTATTTCAAACTTAATCTAAACCATCAGAATAGATAATGTGCTTCCATCCTCAAGTATCTTTCTGCAGAAAGTAATCCAAATTCCCACGTTAGCACAAGTTGTAGCCACGTGAGGAATACTCTTGGTCCTTTAGGGTCACTCTTATTTCATATTTTCTACTCATCAGAGTAGTTCTTTTGCTTCCATCCTCAAGTATATTTCCACCAAAAATTATCGAGATTTCCTGCATCAGAACAAGTTGTAGCCACTATCATGAGGAATGTCTTGGACCTATCAAGGTATTTCTATCTATGTTATTCACTAAAACTTTATTGCTTCCCTACAGATCAGATACCCCAAAATTGAGATGTTTCTTTGCCATCTCTAAGTATTTAACTTTTGCCTAAAATGTGTAGGAAAAAAGTATTTTTCACCCAGTCCATATGGGGGAGCTCTCCGAAATGCCACAATGAAACTTCTGCAGCTTTCTGACCATCATTTGCCAGGAGGAGAAGTGATCTGTGCTTTCTACTATCTGCAACAACATGGCCATAAAGCTCCCACTTGATATCATTTCTTAGATGAAACCATCAAAATCTAGATCAAAACAACTAACTCAAAAGCTGGAACATGCTACCTCTTCTTTTCTGTAAAACATCTTAATTGTTATCTGTATCCACTGATATCATACTAGGACAAAAAGAACGGATGCACTTGGTAATTCCACTAAGGCCACATAATCCTCCATGCAAGAACCAAACTTGTTGTCACAAGTCAATTCTCAAACCTCCGAAAGAGACTCTCACATCTAATGATATTGTAACATGAGGCATCAATGGCCAAAGAAAGCTGAAAAAAAGGGAACGAAAATGTCATAACTGTCACAATATACTCCCCAAAACTGTAAAAATGCCTCGCCAACTTGGATTCCGTACATGTTGCCTAGAAACACAATTTCGCAGTCCTTGTACTATTACTACCGATATCGACGGACCTCCTCATTCTTGCATAGAACGTAGTAACAACAACAAATATCGAATGTGATCTAAATCAAGGAGAAACTGCAAATACAATGTACATATGGAACTTCATAATTAGAAAGCTACCAGACAAATGCGATCAAGATCAAAGCAGAACAGCCGCGAAAGCGAGAGAGAACGAGAAGTGAACAGAGGAAAGGATCGAACAGAAACGCACTATAGAGGACCAGAACAATCTTTGCATCATCAGAGTCGAAATCAAAAGATCGTACGCCGGTGATAACACGAAGCAAGCACACACCAAAAAAGGAGAAAGAGCTCACCAAGAAACGGCACCTTGATCGGCTTTCTTGACAGGAAAGCGAGATCGGCGGCCCTCCTCCCCTGCTCGGCCTGGAATCCCGATCGCGCAGACAGCCGCGACGTCCGCACGGTGGGGAGCCGGATCCCCGCGAGGGTGAAGGCCATCGCCCAAGAACCCTTTCACCTCTACAGGGATTTCACGAGAGAGGATGACAGTCTGGGGTCGATGTGACGGAGCTGAGAGAGTAGAGCAGCAGGGCGTGAGCAGTGAACAAGAGAGAGAGAGAGAGAGAAGTGTGGCGGATCCCAATGCGGTGCAGGGAAAGGGGGGCTTCTTGTTATGGTTTGTTTGGTTGTTTTCGTATGGAGCTGAGGCGGGTGATCCGCGTGGGGCGGAGAGGTGCATGGAGATGGGAACTGGGCCCCAGCGGACGTGTCGTTTAATACAGGTGGGGAACGAGGCCGCGTCAGCGAAACTGGCGAAGGCAGGGGGTGAGGAATGAACGGTTTTGCTTTGCTTTCTCCAGATTCAGCTGCCCCACACTGTAAAGGCCGTTCACTTTTTTCTCATTTTATTTATTTATTTTCGAAAATACGTTAATGTCACATTCTATATATTTTCTTATGCAAAATCTCTCATTATATCAAATATTAAATAAATAAAAATTGAAGAGTAAAAACACTTTTTTTTTTGGTGGGGCCTTTTGGTCCGTTCGAATACCGCACGTAGCTCATGAACAAAAAAGCTGGTCGATTCGTCTCATCTCGACCGTTCATCGATCGCCCATGGGCCCAATCGCACCTCAATCTGTGTGAACCGAAATCGTTGAAGGCCGTCCGTTCGTGCTTTGAGATTCTTACTTTGGTGGATGGTTGACGACCCTCCATCGAAGTTGCGATGTGTGACTGAACCCTCCATCCTAGTTGCCAATCAGTGAGGTAAGGTGGTATATTGATCTGCATCCGACAAGTGGTCACCATATGATCGTCCGACGTTGATGTATTCGTCTCCATCTGCAACAATCATTATCACTAGGCACCAGGCATGCTAAAACGTAAACTGCGTAAACAAAGATAGGACCACTGATATCTATCGACATGGCTTTGCGTATCAACAGAAACTAGAGAAGCGAGGCACAACTACATGAATGAAATCTCCGTTAAGAAATGTGGTTACCTTGGACCGCCTACCCGGCATACAAAACACAAATGTCTTCAATGAAGTTAAATCTCAATCAAACTCCTAACAAGTTTGTCGACTTGAGTGAAGCAGAAATATAACCGAGCAATATGTTGAGGAACAAAATTAGAGATCATGATGGAATTTTTTTGGGAAAATAAACAACAAACATCAAAGCTGAAGCTTCAATGCAGATTGATTTTTCCCTAATTACTGCACCAAAAACAGCAGCTTCTGCTGGACTACAGTAGACCAATCAGTCGAACAAGCTAAAGCCCATGTCCTGCACAAATGCGATTAGAGCACAATCAGTCAATCAAATAATAAGGCTGGACAGGAAAGGTTTGTCAAAAAAAACAAAGGTATCATCCAGAGATAAGTCGATTACTGCATCTATAGCCAAGGTGTTTCCAGCCAAAAGGACTGAACATTAGAAACTCTGCAGTTAAATCATAAAAAGTAACTTACATCATCTGATTCTTCCTTCTCTTCTACCTTTTCCTCTTTCTTTGGTTCAGAAACTGCAGGGGCTGCAGAAGCACCACCACCACCTCCAGCAATTGCAGCAACTGCAACAGCACCGCCACCACCACAAGGCACCGAGGCAATCTTGTCTCTCCCAGTAGCAATAAGTTCCGTCAAGTCATTACCATGGACTTGGGACAAGAGAAGCTCAATCTTTTTTTCATCAACATCAGCACCAACTGGAATCAAATAAGTTGTATTTACTGCATTTAATATATGAATTTCTGAACCCTTAAATTTTATCACTGAAGTTTATTCCTCGAGCTCAATGGTTACAGCTAGTTAAACACCTCATATGTTATTGGTAGCCAAGTGGTGACGGAGAGGGACCCCTTTGAAAAAAAATTACCTGTTCAATTTTTCTATCAAAAAAATTATCTTCGAAAACACAACAGGTCTATGGCATCTCAAGACCCACGTGGACCCAAGCCATTTGGTAATATATTCAAATTTGAGAGTAATTAAGTATATAGAACCTGTAGGTATTTTACACCATCAGTTCATTCAAATAAAGAATGCTTTGATGTATTTAATAATGTATTATGCAGTAAAACAAACAAAGACAACAACACTCCTAATATTATTGTTCGGCTTGGTCATAGTAAACTTTAATATTTCAAATTAAAGGGTAATAATTTATTATGTCACAGACATGACAAAGTATATTACAAACTTGGTTGTCAATGTGTAAAAATGACAGAATCCAATGGAAGTACATAAGGAGAAGGAAGCCGACTAAACCTGATTCCAAAATAGACTTCAAGTCATCACCAGTAGGACACTAATGTTTCCACCAAGGACAGCAAGTAAATAAGCAGCAATGACCTTCATCCTGATGAAAAAAAAACAAATCTTTGACAAAATGAGCATTACAAAAAACAATTAGCTCACAAATAAAGCGTATTCAAGGAAACACACATAGCCCAGTTCCTTCTTAAAATTAAAAAAAAAAAAAAGGAAACACACAAAGGATCATCTAAATAAAGCACATTACAAAAAACAACAAAAATTGGCAGAAATAACAAGTGCATGATTCTAATTGTATAAAAGAAAATAGGAGATACAAGAAACCTTATGAGAATTAGTGTTGACTCATCCCTTGCAGATACAAGAAACACTAATAAGTGTGCAAATGTGCAAACTGTAAAAGATAGGAAGTGTGAGAAAACTTGGAGCACTGTTCTCTAGATTCATTCCTTGTGGTTTGCCGACAACACATATCCTGCTAAAAACTTTCACCATTATCACCCCCTTAACATCACAGCATTGCTTTAAGACTTCAAATTTATCTCCATCAGCTCCAATCTCTGCAATTCTTTTAGAAATTAATTGAGATAGGTGTACTAAATCCCCATTTGTGACATCTTTTTAAAACAATAATGTGAAGATCTGAAGTGTGCTATGTACCCCTGACCACGATTCGATTCGAATCGGAACCGAACCGGGCCGGAACCGAAACAAAATTAGCCCGGCAGTTTGCCAATTCCAAACCAAACCGGAACCGGCCAAGTGCAGTTCGGTTCCGATTCCAAGTTAATATGTACTACAGTGCGTGTTAAACTTAGCATGCCAAGAATCAAATCCGATTATGAATACAACGCAATGTCATTCTCCCCAAGAATCGCATCACTGAATGCTACGGCATACGCGCAAACATTTTTGCACAAATATATGCACAAAGCAATTAGTGTAACAACTTCTTCTCCCACAGGAACAGGTGCCTAAAAGGTGGAGCAGACATCTAGTGAGCAATCTTAGAACATGAGCATTACCTTGCTAATTGAAGTTCTCAAATGCGATAATATATAACCCTATGAACAAAGATTGTAATCATCTAACATAAGGAAACGGACGAAACAACAAAAGAGGGTGGGGTGCACCAACCTCGCCCTACAATGGAGCAAAAATCCACCGAAAGTAGAGACGAATCGACGCACAGTCGGTGAACCAAGTAGCGAATGGAGATAAAGACCAAGTTCGAGGAATAATTACTTAGGGTTGCGAAATCCGCCGCAGCGATTAGGGAGTAAGCTTTTCCTAGGGTTTTCTGGCGGGAGTATGGGAGACGAACAGAGGCGAGCGGTATATAGAAAACGCAGGAAGCCTCCGCATGTTGGATTGTTGATGTCATCAGGGCCGTCAGTAGCCCATCAAGCGGTTGATTCGACGAAAAGGCTCGTGAATGACTTCCAACTATAATACATAGAGTAATTTGGACACACATTTAATATTAATTTTGTTAATTCATTTGATTAAAATTAAATTCTTGAGCATTATTTCACCAAACATAACTAACTCATTTTAACATAAAATAAATTCAAGATATCAATTTATTTTTAATTATTTAAATTTAGGAATTATGTTAACTTTCTACATCATTTATATATATTTTATCAAAAAAAATATCATTTGGCTTGTCACCATATCCAAATCCAATTCCATCGTATATTTGATTATGATAATAATATTTATCTTAGCTCATTGTTCCACCTACAAAACTTTCCCATAAATAAGGCTAATTATAACCCCTATAGTTAGACTTTTTTTTTTTTTTTTTGGCATCTTAGTCTCTAAATATAAAAAAATTATATTATAATCTCTATGGTTATAAAAATAAAATATCTAGTTTTTTTTTATCTTAACGTCATTGGTTTTATTGATGGAAGCACGAAAATGATGAATAAAAATATAATTTTAATATCTTAGTTACGTTTTTTATGAAAACGGACAATAATATCGCTATGGCCACAAATGATTGTTATGGATTAGGAGGGAGAACAATAACGAGAGGTGAGATGACAATGCAGATGCTCTGCATTTGTATCGACACTGACATATGGGCTAATCGATAACTATATCAACACCGACATAATTATCGAACGATGAATGGGTTGCTCGACATATGCATCGATAACGACATAATACAAATGAAAAGCTTAGCTCAATTTCTGCATCTGCATTGACATCGATAATAATGCAGGGAAGGATGGCGCCACTCGGCATATTCATCAACACCATCATCGATGCAAATGCAGATACAAAGCGATGCCGCTCTGTATCTATGTCGGTGCCAACAATGATGCGGGGAAGGGCAACACCACTCTATATCTACGTCGATGCTAATGCAAATGTTGAGCGACACTCTGCATATGCATTTGTGTCAGCATCGATGCAATTGCCGAGTGACACTAACGTAAATGCTGAGCATCAACATTTGCATTGTCGCCTCACTTCTCATTGTTGTTTTCCCTCCTCATCCATAATAATTATCCGTGACCCTTGCGGCGTGGTTGTCCGCTACTATTAAAAATACAATCGGAACATTTAAATTATCTTTTTACTTATCATTTTAGTACTTCCATCGATAAAATGGATGATGTTATAGTAAATGAAACTAAATATTTCATTTTCGTAACTATAAGGATTGCAATGTAAATATTTTAAGTTTAAAAATTAAGATAATAAAAAGATCTAATTACATGTGTAATATATAATTAACCCCTATTGATTGAATTATAAACAATTTACATAGGAAATTTTTCAGTTTCTTAATAATCAAATCAAACTCCGAACTCGGTAAGTCCTGCATCAACCAAATATGATCTCGTGGACGCACAATAACACATTCCAAAACGTATTTTAACTAGTTAACGACACTTTTGTTATTGATTGAATACACATCCCATGCCAATAGAATTTTTTGGCCTATACTTCAGCAAACTTCGCAAGAAAACATTCTGCAAATGTTTTTTGGAGAGGTAATTCGCTTCTAAATACCCTCTACTAACATTTGATAATCTAAAGTAACTTTTTTTTTCCAAAAAAAAAACTCCATCAGATATGTCACAATTGATCCGATAACACTCGGATGCATTAAGAATCAGCCTAGGTAACACAGCATGCAATTGATCATAGTCGTACAAGAGTCAACGTTATAAAAGGTCACACCATATAAGAAAACAAGAGTTCTCGAAAGAGGCAAACATTTAGCTGTCATGCAGTGTTGGTAGCGGCAGAGGAAGTAGATTCCTCGGTTTCAGGTTCAGCTTCCCAAAAGGAAGTCTTTTTGCCTGTTTTTGAAACAGTTTGAAGAACAGCTTCAGGTTTTACGTTGCCTTTGACGGTCACTTTCTGCTCCTTCAGATCCACATCGAAGGATTCAACACCTGAAATTAACGACAAAGATGCATATGTATCCATCAAGCTCGTTCAAGGAATGCTCAAAGCATATGTAGATTGGAGACATTGTCATAACTGATCTTTGTTGAACCAAGTGAAGGACTTGCAACAGGAAATTAACTTTCGTGGATCATGGAAATTTACATCATAGCAGCACTAATTGCAATTAGGATTGTTCCTCCATGGTGTTGAACATTGCAGTTAATCAGAAAGCGTTCAGTTTTTCCTTTTAGTCAACACCATGATCTCCTAAAAAAGTCAAAGATATTGAAATAGCATAAAGTCAAAAAGAGCATTAAGGTGACCTTCCATTTTGGTGAGAACTCTTTTAACAGCCCCAACGCAACCTTCACATGACATACCAACCTTGAGTACAACAGTCTGTAAAATAGTATCGCAACAATTTTGCTATCGTTAGATATATTAGCAATCAACTAAAAGAGCCACTAGAGATTTACATTTTACATTTCAAAACAGCTATCTTCTGCCTAATGAAAGTGTAAAATACAGATAGTATGAAGATTTGAGGGCCAAATTCAAAGGAGAAAAAGAGGAAGAAAGTCAGACTTATCAATGTGACAAACAGATGCAATCGATGAAATATGCAGAAGAGATTATAAACAATTTCTGCATTTCAATGGAAATTTTGCTTATACAGAAGATATTTAAAAACTCTTCTCTTTTTCAAAGGCATAGACTTAAGAAGCAAGTAAAAAGTATCAAACTTGATTCATAAGGATCTAATCCTTGGCACAAATTTTTGATAAATGTGTTGTTCAAATGGCTACAGTTTCAAAGTTTAAGCGACACATAAGTGCATTTTTCAACGATACTAAGGTTAGGTCTCGCATACACAATCCTAAAGTGTGATACCACAAAATAGTATCACTTGCATTCAATTCACAAGACTATGCTATGGTCTGTGGCAGCAATCTACAGAATAAAATTTAGATTCTCCAAATGTCAACTTTTGAAATGCATAAAGATAATATGGCATGGTATCATCATTCATAAGAATGGGCTTACAGAAAAAATAAACAAAAGAATAAGAATACAATCGGAACATTAGAGAAATTGGGCATCATGATCAAAGCTTATCCTACCTTATTATGGAACAGTTATTCCTGGAACAAGGAGCTCAACACTTTGTAGTTATTCCTGTTTTCAACTTAGCTTTTTATGTTGTTGAGTTATTCCAAACCAAGAGGAGTCTCACATCAGAATTGTAAGTATCTTCTTATTCATGCTAGAGTGGCCTTCAAAGATATCGAAAATATTTCTTGAAGCTAAATCTATTTAACCTCTTCTACAATACAAGAACTGCATTATCCTATCCGCATGTTTTCTAATGGTAAAGAAGAACACAAACTAATCTCAATCAACCTATAGTTAGATAACACTCTCAAACACAGTTGCGGATGAACCAATAATATTCATGTATTTCATCCCTTTTTTCCCTGCATGAACCTGATAGATTTTCCTCTTCATTGTCTGCAACATTTCATGTTCTATGCATTAAGCCGGTCATCGAAGAGGGATCCAAGTGAAACACGGATACAAGTCATATACATCATAACCTAATAAATCGTTTCAACCATACCAACTGTTTCATGCCTAAACCATTAGATCCAGGAAGCATAAAAATAGAACACTGTCGTAAGCAGACGTAGGGATTCAATTGAACCCATCCACGAAGAGATCGCTCTGCAAGGAGAAGGATTCTCCCAAACATATCATCTCAGCAACAGAGCGAAAGATAGAAAGCAATTCATACAAGGTCTATGAAATCGATCGCAGAGAAATCCATCATCCTAAGCGTATTCTATTCTTTAATTCAGACGTCAGATCAATACCTCGGCCATGGGCGCAGAGGGGGAGGAGATCTCTGAGGCGACGCAAAAGTCCACGGATTCGGTCGGAGACTTCGGGCTTCCCGAGGACATTATATTCAACGAGGAAAAAGGAGCAATTTTGTAGCGGAAGGCTGGGCGATTTGGGGGAGGGTGGGACCAGGGTCGGTCCCAAGGGCGGTGCGGCATTCCTGCAAATACGAAGTCTCTTTAATGGCAATTTCGTAAATAAGAATCTTTATCGAATCACTGTTATCACTAATAATAATTAATATATAATTTTTTGCTATTTTTCTTATAATAAATTATGAATTTTACAAAATGATAGTATTAACTCTGAACTAAACTAAACATATATATTAACAACAACAACAAAAATCCATAATTAAAATTTATAACTTTATTATTATCATTATTATTATTGTAATAGTATTTATTACATTTCAGATTAAGTACTTTCCTCGTGTGCAGAGATTCGTGCTCTCTCGGCGTGCAAGCAAAGTCAACATAGAGGAACACCCAAGAGTAGACCAATTAGATCCATCGTTGATTCGATTTACTGGATTCACAACAACCGTTGGATCCAGTCGACGATGAAAAGAAATGACTGCAAAATTCCACCTTCGATTAACATAATTAACATCAAAGTTGACTTGCATTCATTTTGACTACTTCGAATCCACGCCGCATTGTTTACTAATGTTTTTGATTGAAATCCGAAGGTAAAGTAATGAAGCTTCGCTTGCCTTTGGATTGCCGAGATCTAATCTCCCAGTCGGCATCTAATTAATGGATCGAGAACATGAGCCCTTGTCTTCAGGTGCCGATGCCTTTGTTTATATTGCTTTCTTCTTCCTTGATCTGTGCTTGTCCCAACCCGATAACGAAGGGTCAAACTTCATGGATCCAATGAAGTTGACGTGAATTATTGCATGGCGCAGAGTGTGCAGTCCAAAGATAGAATAATATAATTCCATGATCATCAAGAAGAGTGAGAAGTACATCGACCTTAACTATGTGGCCGACCTCATCAAGATTCCCACACCCTCGGTTCCGACAGCGTAGAATGGCTGAAGCCCAAACACGCCACACGTGATTGGATCCGCACGCTTCGGGCACGTCACATGCAATGTCTTCTTACCTCCGGTTGGCTCATCGAGTCAACCCCTGTGCCCGTCGCACGTTTCGTGCCTATAAAAAGGCCATCGAGATCACCATCGATACACACCGCCAGCTACTAAATCATCTCCGATGGCACGAGCGCAGCTGGCTCTGCTCGTGGTCTGCTCTCTCGTCCTCGCCCTGACCGTCGCCGGTCAGAGGCCTCCCAAGTACCGCAAGCTGGTGAGGTGCAAATCCCCGCAACTCTACCAGAACTGCAAGGGCTTCATGTACTGCCCCGCCCGTTGCCCTCGCTCGTGCTACGTCGACTGCGAAACCTGCAAGCCGATGTGCGGTAAGCAAGCGGCACTCGATCTTTGTTTCCATCGTGTTGGAAGATTACTTAGTTTGTCGTCCTCCGGTTGCAGTTTGTAACGCTCCCGGCGCGGTGTGCGGCGACCCGCGCTTCATCGGCGGCGACGGCATCACCTTCTACTTCCACGGAAGGAAGAACCAGGACTTCTGCCTGTTCTCCGACTCCGGCCTCCACATCAACGCCCACTTCATCGGAAAGCGAGACCCGACCATGACCAGGGACTTCACCTGGGTCCAGGCCATCGCCCTCCTCTTGGACGACCACCGCCTCTACGTCGGAGCTCAAAAGACTGCCGCATGGGACGACGCGGTCGACCGCCTCATGATCACATTCGACGGCGAGCGAGTGCAGATCCCGACTAAGGAAGGCGCCAAATGGCAGCCATCTTCCGCCCGGGCCGTGTCCATCGTCCGAACGAGCACCGCGAACGCGGTCACGGTCGAGGTGGAAGGCAAGCTCAAGATCACCCTCAACGCGGTGCCGATCACGGAGGAAGAATCCAGGGTGCACAGCTACGGGGTGACCAAGGACGACTGCATCGCCCACTTGGAGCTGGGCTTCAAGTTCTACTCCCTCAGCTCCGACGTGCATGGGGTGCTCGGTCAGACCTACAGGGAGGACTACGTGAGCCGGGTGGACGTGACCAAGAAGATGCCAGTGATGGGAGGCGCAGACAAGTTCTTTGTCTCCGATATTTTCTCCGCCGAGTGCGCCGTGTCGCGCTTCGACCGCGAAGCAGGCGGCATCGCCATGGCCGTGGAGCACGAGGACGTCAAGTGCAGCAGCGGCATGGGCGGCCGTGGCATCGCCTGCAAGAAATAAGCACGCGTGCAGCGTATGAACCACGTATCATAACGCATGTAGTACGTGCCAAGCACGCGAATAACGATGATATGAGTCGAACTATCGTATCTATGAAACCTCTATGTGGAACAAATAATTGAATTATCATTTTATAATTATCCAAATTGAATGTAATAATCTTGATACATTAATATAAGATACAGTGCTCTGATCATATTTAATAAGGACATGACACGTGGATTTCATAACGTTGGAGCCAAATTCAAATTATTAGTTGGATGAATTTTCGAAAAGAAATTATATCTTTTTCGATTTTTCTATAAAAGCACTTTAAGTTTTAAAATTCTCAAACAACACTTCTTTTTTTTTCTTTTAACATAATACACAGGACATCTTTTTTCCTTTCTTTTCTTATAGACTGATCAATAGGGTAAATTAGTTCAATTATAATATATTTACACTGTGTTATGATATTTTTTTAGTAATAATATAAAAATACTATAATGCTATATAAAAACATCATAACATAGTGTTTTTTACAAATGTTATAAAATTATTATGTTTATAATATTTTTAATAATATCAAAAAACACTATAATGTGGTACAAAAATACTGTGTTATAATAATACTAGGAAAATATCGTAACGTAGTATAAAAATATTATAACATAATATATAAATACATTATATTATTTTTATAATATTACTACAAACATTATAATACATTGTAAAAACACTATAGTTCGTCTTATGGATCGATCCAATAAAAAAAATTAAAAATAGAGCAAAAAATTATAGGTGACTCGAGGTATTTTAGATGTTATGTAAAAAAGAGCGTTGTTTGAGAATTCTAAAAATAAGAGGTGCTTCTCGAAAAAACCTAAAATGAGATTTTTTTTTTCTTTTCAAAAATTTACCACAAATTTTTATAAAAATATTATGTTTGTAATATTTTCAATAATATCAAAAAATACTATAATTTAGTACAAAAATACTATGTCATAATAATACTAGGAATATTATAACATAATATATAAATATGTTATAATATTTTTATAATATTATTAAAATAGATTATAATATAGTGTAAAAATATTGCAGTTCATCCTATGGACCGATCCAAAAGAAAAATAAGAAAAAGAGAAAGAAAAAAATTTATAGGTGGCTTGGGGTATTTCATATGTTAGGAGGTAATAGATAACATCGTCCGATAATTCTAAAAATGATAGGTGTTTATCAGGAAAAAAAACTCAAAATGATAATTTTTTTTCTTAGAGTATATATCGTATTTTATTAGCCTAGACAAAAATAAATAAAATCTGAGTACCGTATATGGAAGTGTATATCAACTGGTGCAAGGGATACCAAAAATTTAGCTATGATATTATTGGAAGAAATGCGACCCATCTTAAAGTGGAGAATTTAAATTTATCATGAGAAAATTATGTTTTTGTTTTCTTTTATTAGGAACCAAGTAAAATGTTAAATGCCAGCTGAAGTCAAGAATTGGACTTGAGAAGCTTCTTCCAAGGATTGACGTGGTTTGTCGACCATTTGAAGGATCCTTTTGCAGAGACCGGCATCGCAGACACACTGTTCTTCCTTTGTTTTCCGCGAGTCCATGCGACTACAGCGGCCGCGAAAGGTCCACGACAGTAAGTTGATGCGCATCGGCTATCAGGTCTCGCCAAAGAACAAAAGCACGCGAAAGAAGAAAGCTTCAATGTAGGCTGTAATAGTCTCTCTAGAATTCCTTCTAATAGTAAATAAACACGTTTCAAATGCTTCACAGTCGAGTGTTTGTCTGATCTTTCAAGTTTCTGACCCTTTCTGTGGTTTTGGCGACACCATAGGTGGATTTGTTATTTTATTTTTATGCTAAAAAGCTAAATTATATATTTTTTTCGATGATTCATCTTTTCGATATATGTCTTTCATTCGCGTACTTGAGATTGGATAAAGTCAAGAATATTCGTTTCTGATACTTAATAATATCAATAAAATTCATCACGATTGAAGCCACAAGTATAATCGATATTATCAAGCAAAGACATGCTTGAACTCGAAACTCAAATGATAATAATAATAATAATAATAATTTTTTTTTTCTTATCGACTATTAAAAGAGTATGCATCGGAAGAGAGAGTTCGAGGGATCAAATAGCAATTTGGGATATATCTCCTATTTATCTTTATATAAACAACTGCATCAATCAAACAAGATAGCAAATCTTCTCCCTTTTTTTCCACTTGAATTTATATATTTTTAAAAATATATATATTTATTATATTAAATAACGATTTAAAATTTAAATGTATTATTTTATATACTAATGAACTCGGATATCTCAATATAGACACAACACTCAAATCGATGTGATCGTATGGAAATACGTGACGATAGAAGCCACCAATTATTTGAACTGGAATCTAATGGTGTATCGGTGATGGATCGAGGATCTGATCCACCTCAGAATTAGGATCACGAGGCAACTAAACATAACTAAATTCTAAATCGATTGACTTCCATTCTACGATTACATACATGGGATTATTTTTTTCGGCGTCTTTGCTTCTTTGGTTCTCCTGGATCTGTGCAGACTGCAGCCATGGGGGAGATGCGACGCTAAACGCCTTTCTAGGTGCGCAAAGTCCAAAGAAGACTAGGTATCCAACATCTACCGTGGCCTATGGTAGGCGGCGAGACACGCACCGGGTCACCCGAGCTGGCACTCCCCCGCTGATGGTCGCCGTCAGCCCTGGCACAAACTTGATCGTCCGGCCGCCTTGAAGTACCTTGAAGTCGAATTTGGTGACCATGGAGACGATGACGGTCTTCATCTCCACCATCGCCAGCTCCTTCCCCAGGCACACCCTCTGCCCCGCCTGGAACACCGGGTACTTGAACAGGCTCTCCGGGGTGAACACTCCGCCGCGGAGCCACCGCTCCGGCTTGAACTCCCCCCAATCCGGCCCCCAGATGCTCTCCATTCTCCCCATGGCGTAAGGGTGGTAGGTCACCCTCGTGTTCCTGCTCACGAAGGTGCCGTCCGGGAGCACGTCGTCCTCGAGGCAGAACTTGGAGTCGAACTGGACCGGCGGGAACAGGCGCATGCTCTCGTAGATCGCCGCGTGCACGTAGTGCATCTCCTTCAGCCGCTCGTAGCTCACCACGTCGTCCCCGTCGCCCTTGGTGACGCTGGCGATCTCGTCGCGCATCGCCGCCGCGACGTCCTCGTGCCGCGAGAGGAGGAGGAAGAAGCTGGTGAGGCCGGAGGCGACGGCGTCGCGGCCGGCTAGGAGGAAGCTGATGACGATGTCGCGGAGGTACTTGTCCTCCTCCTCCACCGAGCCCATGAAGCGGGAGAGGAGGTCGTGGCTGGAAGCGAATCCCTGCTTCCGGCGCTGTCGTATGACCTCCTCCGCCAGCATGTTGATCATTCGGATCGCCCGCTTCAGCTCTCTCTCCGACCCCACGTTGAGCAGCCGCTTCAGCTTCCAAACCACCGGCGCCGTCGCGGTACCCCTACGCGCCGACAGCCTCGAGGCGGTGTCGAAGGCGGCCGCGAACTCCGACATGGGCATCGACAGCTCGAGGCAGCCGCGGTCGAGGCCGAAGGAGATCTTGCATATGGTGTCGAACGCGAACTTCCGGAACACGTCCTGGAGGTCCACGACGCCGTCCCCTCGGTCAGCAACAGAGGAGAGGAGCGGGAGCAGGCAGCGGCGGATCTCGTCCGACACGATGCCGAAGGCGTAGGACCGCACGGCGACGCTGCCGAGCGCGAGGCTGGCCATCTTGCGCTGGAACCGCCACGCGTCGCCGTCGACGTTGAAGATCCCCTGGCCGAGGAGGTCGCCGAGGAGGGCGGAGAAGGGCTTGCCCTTGGGGAAGTTGTCGAACCGTGTGCGGAGCATGTACTCCACGTTGGCCGGGTTGGCGGTGACGGTGTTCCCCAGCACGTGGATGTGGATGGTACCAGTGGGCGATTCCCGGAGGAGGTGCGCGTACCAGTCGCAGAGATTGTCGAACTCGGCGGCCCAGGAGGAGCTCAGGTAGGCCTCGCAAACATGACAGCTGCACCATGGGCGCTTCCTCAGCAGCAGCAGCAGCGCCGAAAACAAAACGAAGCCCACGACGAAGGTGAAGAAGAGGAATGCGAGGTGGTTGGTCGTCATCACAGCCACCGCCACCGCCGTTGCTGCTGCCATTCTGATGAAAGTGGGAAGCAGATGGAGGGAGAGAGGCATCTCTTATAGACAGAGAGAGACAGCAGTAGGGTGGGCTAGGTTGGATGAACCCAGATATGATGGGGACAAACGAAGGGGACGGGCCGAGCTGTGTTCGTGGTGTCATCTCTGACGTCCAATCGGGTTGCTCTGCTCCACTACTGTTATGGCCATACGGGCACGAGCATCTCGTGCTGCGAAAGACTTTTGTGGGCACCGCCATGTCGGCTTACATCAACGTGTCCTACGACTTTTCTCCTCCATTGTCAAATAGGTTTATCCACGTTGACTGCACGTCGATTTGATTTCTGAGGGGTTTCATTCTCTTCATTCATCATAATTTCCTTAACAGCTTAAGCTTTTGAATTTTTTATGAGCCAATCTAAAAGCTTTAATAATAATAATAATAACACACATATCATGTCAAATTATATTTAAGTTAAATCTCAAATAATTCTCCCATCCTCTCTCTCTCTCAAGAGTATGTGTATATTATTTCATCACATTCTCCCCATTAAAAGCTAATCTTAGTGAAAGAAAAGTCTTCCCATATAATCTTAATCTGAATTAGAATTTTAGGATCTATGACTGTTCCATTAAGAGCTTAACAGTCTGACATTTGTGTGAAGATTTCAAGATCTTCAACATAGATAAAGTACCTCTTAGTGTGGAGTCTGTGGACATCAAGTGGTGGAAGGGGACCTCACTGTGGCCAAGCATTATAACCAACATGCATTAATTTAGGATTCCTGTTAATTAAACAGGATTAAGGTTACACAGAACATGCAACCACGACATTGTCCAGTGGAGAAGCCCTAAAAAACAGGACTTGTTTTTTTGTTTTAGATTCTTTGACATGATTTCCTCTCTAATGTTACAATTATTCGCCACTTCGTTTAATTTCTTAGGAATTGCATAGATGTCATTAAACACTTTTGTATCCAATACCCATTTTGTACTTCTTCTATTTGTATTCCACCACTCAAAATTTCTATGGTATTATTGTCTAAAAGAATACAACAATAGAATGAATAATGGGCCATGTGCTGAATATTTTAAAATGTGATAACGTTATTTTAATACAATTACATATATATATATAATTATTTATATACGTACATAACTAATGCAAGCTATCGATCGCATATCTATCTGTGTTGACAGCAAAAGATGATAGGAGCGATAGAGGGACAGACGAAGCATGTGTAGAAATCAAAAACGTTTTGGTTCAGATTTATTTGGAGCTTCGAGTGGGTTGCCGTGAAGTTGAACCCACACAAACACATGGAATCCAACTATCCAACCATGTCGGCTCTCCACTCCCACGGACCCCCCCACCATGTCGGCTCTCACCACTCCCCACGGCTTACACACCCCCCCCCCTCCCCCACCACCACCCCACCAACTAGTTTCTAATTATCTACTTAGATACCTATAATAAATAATTCTTTTATTTAAATATTCAAATTTTCATATATAAAATGAAAAAAATGATCTCATTAGTTCTTTGGAAGACAAATTCTTGAAAAAAAATAATTAGTTTTAAAAAATTATCGTATAGCATCTTCATTTTCAAAAAAAATTATAATATAATTTTATTTTGTAAAGATAATTTTATCCCTCTACCTTCACCATTGACCACCGTTCTCCCTCGGCCTCTCGTAGCCACCTCTTGCCCATGCTCCTGACAACCTTTATGTGTGAGTCCTTGATCGTCTTTGCACATGGCTCCTCATTGTTTGTCCTCGCTCGTAACATCCACCCCCGTCATCTCCCCTATTACTTATGAGCTTGTGCATGGAGGTGTAACTAGCTAATGATAAAAGCTTAAGCAACCAAGGTTTGTGTTCACTCATGGCTCCCCACCTTATAATTGTCCTTGACAAGGAGAGAGGAGGTACGATAATAATATAAGAAAATGAGAACTATGATACAAGGTGAAGATAGAGCACAAGTGCAGTGAATATAAAGATAAAATAATATTTTCATACAAAAATGGACATTTATTCTACTAAAATTTCTTAAAACTATATATATATATAACATAATTAGGTTTTGGGTGATGGAATGGGACGCGCTACCTAAGACATGAGACCAGTGTTTATCGTAGGGACACAGGAGCGTAGGAGTACGCAGGACAATATGGAGCAGTGTTAATCCTAGCGACACAGGATCGTAGGACGGGCGTGGGATCACCAATCTCCGGTCTTTCTTCCACATCCTGACGCCACCTCCTGCTAACTACAGAGCCACTGAGCGAATGCTCTGACCTCTTCGGGACTATGTTATGTGCTTCGTCCGTTGGGACTGGAAATAGTTAAGAGATGACGACCATTACTGTTATGGCACTTCGCTGAGGCTTTTACGCAAACAGTTGTCATCGTGCGATATGGTCATGCATCTTCACGAGCACGAGATTCTCTTGGCTACGCCACACGCTACCGAGGCTTTGGAGAGGAGGAATCCGTCCAGCGTGGGGTTCGTCACGCGTACAAGCCCGACAAATCTTTCATTAGGTGGCGACGGCGACATCTCCCATCCTCGGCCGACATCGAAAGCAGCGGCTGCAACCACGGGTTGTCCGCCGCCATGGTGTTCTGGTTCCAGCGTGGCAACACAGCCGACGCCGCCCACAACCTGGTCTCCAGCCTCCTGTCCTGTTATCGTCCACCGCCGACATATCGTCGAACACTTGTAAGTCGTCGGACGCCGCGGTACTGTTGCAATTTTCACACTGTAGTACCTGTGAAACGGGTCTACCACGTCTACAACGTTACAGTCGTGTTCGACGATATGTCGGACACCGTGTCGTTTCGACATTGCTCTGAATGAATCGTTCGTTCCTCTTGATAAGTATCACTGTTCAAACCAAATAATTAGGGGGCCAAATTTAACCGAACCGATTTCTGATCTGATTGTGATTAAAATAAGATAAGTTAGAATCAGTTTAAAACCGATTATTTATTACGGTTTGATCGATCGATTAATTATTTTATATTTTTAAATAATTTTTTAAAAATATATATATACATTTCAAATCTCGAACCGAATGAATCGAATCAAAATCTTTGTTCGATCGAACCATTAATAGTCTTCGAGATCGAAATATTGATGGACATATTCAAGCCGAACCGACTCGATTTCATTTTCCGAATACCCCTAACAACACAATTGATATGAGGACCCTCAAATTAAAATTCTCTTAACTCATGCTCACCTTCTCTCAAAATTCATCCTTGCCTTCAATATGTCTAAACTAATAGAGGAGCGATCGAAAACTTAATCTCTCGATAATACATCAATCCACCATACATGAACTCATTGGAGCCTCATATGGCTCTGAGCCATCCCAAATTCAAATTCCAGATCACAAAAGTTACATCTATCACTAATACATCGATCCATACCAAATCCTGCATTGATAGGTGCCCTCTTGTACGGGCCATCTTTTTAATGGAGCTGTCTCGATGTTGTACTAAATTGCACACACAAATGCCTTTGCGGGTTGATGATAGCAAGTTCAGAAAAAAAAAAGACTCCAATAATGAACCTTGCCTGACAAGGGACAAAGATCTGAGGCAGCAGCTCCCAAGTTCATGCCATCCCCATCAAAGTGACAATAAACCTTAGCCTTTTGCAGGCTTTACACCACTGCATCTTACCCCCAAACGGAGGTGGCTGAGTCACTGTTGATGTGCAAGTTTCACCAACTCATATGGTCCCAACTATAAGCTATAATCCAACAGCAGTTTCTTCTTTACTTACAGCATAGTATTCACAGCACTTTACAATGTCAAAGTAGGCAGGGATAGAGTTAGATGCTATGCCTGTTTCCTAGCGAACTAGATAGGGAGGTTTAGATTGGGGCTTGTGTTAACCTAAAATGAGCATGGTGGCTGGCCCATGGTCATCTAACAAAGAATTATATGGTGTAATATGGCAGAACAGCTGATGAAACATATGTTAGATATGTGGCAATATGAAATGCTGACATGCTTGCCAGGAAGGTTTGGTTATCTGCAATTAGAAACAACTACAAGTAGCAACTGCAGGTGCACTGTAGAATTCTAACATGACAGAGAGAGAAATGCTACTTACAACTCAGCATATAAATGAGACATGTAAGTGAATTGCTTGATACATATAGACTTGTAGCAGGCAAATCACTTGAGAAAGAGTCCAGCAATTGTTGCATGCTGTAAACACCATGTGCTGAGCTCTCTTCACTCTTTTTGTTCTTCTCTTTGGTGGGTTTATAGACACTATATGTATACATATACTTTATACACATTCAGAAGAAAAAAATTCTAGTTCTGAAGCTAAAAGTAATATTTCTTTTAAAAATTTTGAATGATAAAGCACATCAGTGATCTAAGATCTCATCAAGTCTATAAAGATTCCGCCGTAATGCTCGAGGAAACTAGATGTAAGCATATTATCTCTCTCTGTCAAGATGAACTTTGTTGTTCAAGTTTTCAAAAGTGATCCACAGTTTGCATTACACATGACCAAAAGCTTGATAATTTTCTTGGATTCTTTATATATCCAACAGTAAAGCACTCGTTGTGGATGAGTATGCCTAGTTCATGTGTCAGTCAACTACTATACTTCCACCTCTACTAGATGAGAATACATATGTTGTTTACAAACCCTAGTAGAGGGATCTATTGTTGCATTCCTAGTCATATTTCTGGTGATGTCCCATGACAAAAAGCCACAGCCTCATGATCCGATTGGTAGAAGAATCTAGGTTAAATATGGTTGTGATCACTGATCTGATTTGCAGTTCTACTGTCTATCAACATTCTTCAGTCTACTGAAAGGTATTATAGGTAGAAGCTTATACAATACCTGTGCTTGGCAGGTAAGATTTGCAGATGGATATGCCGTACAATGTGGAAATTATCATGATGGTAGAGCAGAACATTGCAGACAAGATTTCCGCTGCTGCTTATTCCATTGAGATGATAAAGTCCCATTTCTATGAGCAATGCAGACTTGAGATTAATTGAA